AGTATCCGGACAGTCGCATTTATAGGCGCAGCAAGCCGGGAGTCTCAAAAAGACTTTAGAACTTCAGGGGCAATATTGAATGGAGACTTCTTCGGGGATCAAGAACGAAGGAGCCAGTCTTGCGCCACGGCCATCGAAAGTGCAACTACTGGAAGATCGGCTTTGCCGATTGCAAGCTTCAGAAATGAAGGACATTGAGCTGGAAGCCAATGGTTCCGACTATAGCAATTGAGAAATACACGAACTTTTGCAGGACTCCTAGAGTAACGCGGGTGTCCCACATGAAAAAGCCCGACTCACTAAGGCTCAGATACAGAGATAGGTTCATGTACTCCAGCTCCATGTCTTCCTCACCACCATCCTTCGCTGTTGGAAACGGGAAGTGCTGCCCGCGTGTCTATCGCTGAAGTTACAACGCCCGAACCAAAAATCTGTGATTATCGCAGCGAAGTTTCAAGCATGCTGACGAAAGAAGGTAGCCTCGTACAGTGAGCCGTAGCAGATGCGGCGACATACCTTGACATTCCGAGCTTCAAGCTCTGAGAACATGAGTTTAAATATTGTCAACACCGTTTCCACCCCTCCGTCTCCCTTCCTACCCCTTCTTACATCTTTCCCGCCCCTCCGTCCCCTCCCTTCCTCCAAAATGAACAGCGTGAGATCCGGTTGGAGGCTGTAGAACAGCTCAAGGCCAAGAGACAAAGAACTAAGTAGGCTTCCGGCCACCACCAGATTCGGCAAGATATCTGCCATCAAGCCCTGACGTGGGGAGCTGAATCCGACGTCGGCGTTGGTGTGCGAAACTTTGTACGTCCATCAGGTTAGGTTCAATGCAACATTCGTGTTGAGATTCCCCCCAAAAAAATCAGACCCCTGGAATCGCGCCTGGTGCACGTCAAAAAGCGACGTGAAAACTACCAGCACTGCTGTCAGTGCCAGGGCTGCAGCTGACAGCTGATACATGCGAGAGGCCTGGCGCATGCAACCTTAGAGGACTCAATTCGGCATCGAAGGGAGTTGACACCCCTATTTATGGTTTAGGGGGGTATTCTCAAGCATTGCTCCCTTGCCTCTGGATCTTAAGGAGACCCATGATGACGCATGCTGTGGACGCGACACTAGCCTTCTCGCCTGGGCGCTTGTCATCTCTCGCCACTTTGCTCTGGCCCCCTGGCCGCGAATATGCCCGGAGAGCAGGGACCGTGCAAAAGCAACAATGGTCAGAGACACACCACGCCAGCAGGCTACTTGAAGGTAGCAAGCTCCTGCATGAAGCGGCCGTGACAGCAGCAGCTGCTTACGTCAGACTCACTATGCCTACGAGGCGAGAAGGAAAAAACAACAAGATGCCACACCGGTCCTAGAAGAGCTGCGGAAGCAAAAGCATGCGGGACGATGGTGAGAGCGAGACGACCATGGAACTCCGGCTGAAGGCTGTAGAACCCAAGACGTGCTGCCAGGATGGCAGTCCAAAGAAGCACCTCAAGCTCTATGCACGCTTTAGGACAAAAAAGGCCTTAGGCCCTTAGGCCTCGTGAGCCTTTCATCCTTCTTCCCGGACTCAAATAGAACCTTGCGATAAAGAGATCCCGTCATGGCTTCGATTCGCTGGTTACTTGTTCTTCGTATGCGATACGGGTCGTCTTTCCGGGACAACGGAACTGCGTGGGACCCTTTCCTAGCTCCCCGACCTTCCCTTCAAAATAAAGTTGCCGACAGAATGGAGGACTTGATCATAGCCCAAGTCGCAGTGATCAAGCCATCTGTAGTCTTCTGCCTGCGCAGATGGCTCATCAGACCTTCACTTTCGATACTCGCCAGAAGGTGCTCGTTGATCTGGATCTGCATCTGCGCACTCTTGAAATAATGTCTCAAGCCACCACACGATGCAATGGCCAATGTAGCACCAAATGCAATAGCCACGTCGGTCGCAGGCCCACTTGAACATGGATCGATGTCGCTTCCGGTTGAACTGCAAACGCTTAAGCGAGTGGCGGTAGCCCAAACCCCCACACAGCTGAGGCTCAACACCAAGCAATGGTATGCCTTCGAAACCAGCATCATCCACGGATCCAAATCTTCGCACTCGTCTTCGGGGTTCTCGATCCATCGCTGAACCAAGGGCGTCAGACCGCACAAGCGTGTCCAGGCATCGCAGCAGGCCAGGCAGTAGGAAGCACCACGCTCACCTAGCTGGGTCAGCCCTACTCGCTTCGCAGTACATATCGCTACAGCTGGGCCTACAAATCCTTAAGACCCGGAAATGCCAAAACGAGGCGCCGTAGCCGGATGGGACATACTCCTCCTCCTGCTGGAATCCGGTGGGCACGCGCATGCTAGTTCCCGTGGTGCCAGTAGGTGACACAGGAATCAGCTGGGTTTCACGATGCTTGAAGACATCCCGCAAGGATGCACAATGATCTTTGCTGGAGATCTTGGACTTATTGGCCTCCGAGTTTGCGCCGGCAACCTCAATCGTATCACCAGGACTGATGCTTCCCGACTTATTCTTTCCGAAGGAGCCCGTCGGGTTGTCCTCAGTCCTCAAGATGGACCTTTGGGACCTGGCGGCGGAAACTGGTTCTGGGACAGCAAGAGACTTCTGTGAACTCCCCGGCCCAAAACTCACCTTCCTTGACATGGCAAAGCTTGCCGCAAAGTTCTGCGATGCTCCGATATGATAGGTCCCGCTTCTCTTGAAGGTCGCACCGCCTTGAGTATGATCTTGCCGACTCTTCATTGCTGCCTTCATGACTCTTTGGCCTACCAGCTCGTCGATGTCATTGAAATCCGAAACTGCTTTGGATGACATGGATGTTTCTGCCTTTGAAGCCTTTGAGTTCAATCGTCTGGAGTGGCGGGACATGAAAGACGAAGCTCCACGTGGAGCCTCAGCTGAAGACAGCTGACTGAGCTTCTCCTCCACCCCGGCCACGCGATGGTGAACGTTCTGCAATTCCCTGCCCTGCTGCTCAACGAGGCGAATGAGGAGGTTCAGCTTCTCTTCAATCATCGGTGGCGGTGCTGGTGGCGCATCCTCAACCACCCCACCTTTGCTCGAAGCCGCCCGGCCAGTGGGCACTACAACCAATTCTGGGTCGGATGTGTCCTGAGCATCGAGAATCTCCAGGCTTTGACGACTGTGACCTTCCAGGCTCCGAGAATGTGGTCGCATGGTGCAGCTCGGGGAATCTACAAGAGTCGTACCGGAACTCAAAGTAAGTGCAGAACTACATAACATGTGGTGATCGTTGTGAAGCTTCACTGACGTTCTCGGACTGTATGCTTGCCGTGCACGAACACCATGTGATCAACGACCCCCTTGATTCTCACCCATGCTCTGCGTTCAGCAAGAACAGTGCCTCTTCTCTCCCTCTTGCTCTCTCAATCTCTCACAAACACCGCTCTTTGCAGTCATGGCGATCAGTTTGAAGTGGCAGCACAGAACTTGCGCAGTGCTGCGATGGTATGCATGTTCCAGCGGGCTCGGCTCTCAGCGACTGTGACTACGATCTACACCGGTTCGGCGCCGGATTACCTCCGTCAGTAATGCGATCATAGCCGAAACCCACGCCCGAGAGCCGCACCTGGCCGGCGAAACCTGCTCAGCTTTTGACACAGCATTCAACGCACACCGCACACCATTCGATCCGGGCAGATACCTGCCTTGCCAAGCTCATCCGCTAGCCCACTTACGAATCCACGCGGTAGGGGCAAGGCAGTCCACTGGTAAAGAGGAAGCGTGCTCCAGTCTGCTGCTGCAGCGAAGAAAGATTTGGGTGCCGGAACAGCCACGCGACCCACACCTTGTTCGGAATCTAAACAGGAAGCTCCACCAGAGACAAACTTTGGGCCAAACATAGCAACGATGTTAGACGAAACATGGCAGAAACGATTGGCATCCACAGTGAGACTTAGAAAAAGACTTGGTGCGACACCGTTGAACGAGCACTCTATCAACATGCAAAGGAAAGGATTGTCGCTTCAAAGCGGCAGACCGCGGCCTGGTTACCCATGGCGGAAGCATGAGAAATGGCAATGAACTCACAAACAAATGGATCATAGAACTACGACACTACCGCAAACAATGTTAGCAAGAAGTGTTCACCATCACACTCTGCACAGGATGATTCGAGCGGAAGTCTATGCCCGTCCGCTGTTGCTAACAAGCATGATGGATTCCTGCTGTCTCGTGACTCCAGTGCTGCGAAGCAGCAGCACACAGCGGCATCCGAGATCTTTCACGGTACTATGTAGTATCATGCTCGTGTGCAAGCCATCTCTAAACCTAGACTTCCTAGGTGATACAGCATCCTCCCAACAAGCTATCTTGAGCAAAGAGGCGCATCATGCTCAGAAAACCTGAGTACATTCCCTCGAGGAAGACGCGAAAGCGGTCTGCAAGTCACACAAGTAAGCCGGCTAGGAGGAAAGTTCTCTCAATGAGCACAAGTGGCTCTCAGCACACTGGAGTTGGAAGCCCAAATGCTGAAGACAGCATTCGACCTCTCTCAACCCCCGGCTCAACTGTCAGTTTCTCCGTATACATAAACTGTTCTCAGGACTGTTCGACTGTTCATTACTGGCCCGTGCAGGAGGGCATAAGACACGAGTAGGCTGCTGTCAGAAGAAACCACTGACAAAATATACTGCTTCCCTGCACTACACGCTGATTGACTAGCACAAAAAAGACGCAAGCCTCAAGCCTTGAGCCCCCCCCCCGCACAACTCTCGTATACGGCCCTCTTTTGTCGGCGACGTGCCGTCGAAAAGAGGCAGCAATTCTGGAGGTAAGGTCAAGAACGAGAGAGGAGCTGGCGTAACGTCGCAGTTCGCCACAGGCGACATGGATGGGATGCCCGGAAGGGACTCTGCTGGATCCTGGCTGTGATAAGTGAGTCCTCAAGGAAGACCAAGCAACACACACGCCGAACCTCTAGCGACTCTGGCGCCCGAAGACGAGCCCACGGCGACACGAAAGCAGATGCCGGTCTGCAGGGATGCAGGAGTTTGCAAGAGGGGCGCGTCAGACCGGGAAAGGCACCTTGAAGGCCCTAGGCCCCTACATAGGCTCTACTTCCGACATCTCTTGCGATGCAAGTTCCCAGCAACACACCGTGACCTCTGGTGACTCTAGGGGCACCCAGGCTCATACCCCCTGGCCTGGCACAGAGCTGAAGAAGATCCTTTTCATGAGCCAGGTTCCCACAACCTGCCCATGGAAAAGCAAGCCTGGCACGGATATTTTCCAGCAGCTCATTGTGAATCAAAGCGCCCGATCCCTCAAGTTCGAAGACCTCCCTCGCGAGCCCCTGCATCCCAAACAGCCCCTAAACTCATTCAAAACCTTTAGAGAAGAGGAGAAGCTCTTCGTGGCTTGCAGGACTTTGCCCTGTGTCGAAGACCAGGGAGGAGTCCTCCTCACTCAGGGCAAAAGCCAGAGCCGAAACCTCCGAGTTACGCAGTGGGCGTGCAGACGGGTGCTCCACAGGGCCATGCAGTGCCCATGCCGTTTGAGTTTGGGGTCTGCGAGTTTCTCGTTCAATCGCCTTGAGCTGGAGAGCTGAGCAGCTGTCATCAAGTGAGAAGACTACGAACACAAAAGGCTGCGCTTGGGCAGCTCAGGAGCCTCAAGTCCTCAAGAGCTTCGGTCTCCCATTGAGCGCCGTGTCTTGCTGCAGCCACGGCAGGTCTACAGCCGAAAGCTTTCGCTTAGGCTTCCAGGAGGAGCTTATGGACCTATGATATGCTTTGTGGATGAACGTCCGGCCTCAAGATGAAGTGCTTCGGCTTGGATCGAGACTGTAGCGCCTGCAACCGAAGCCCACGGAGCGAAACAAGAGAACTGCCGCCCGGACTCGCTTCTGCAACTTAAAGGTCGTGCGCAGTTGAAGGAGTTGCGACGGAAGGTGCAGGCGTGATTCGGTGGCAAGCTCCGTCTTAGCGTGGCTTGGGGCCGCTCCGCGGCAGCGCAGCCACACTCATCCGGTCAAGAGCCACGCACACGCGTGCGCGAGCTTATGAAGAAAATTCTCGTTGCCCCGCTCAGGATGGAGGAAGCCTGGAATTCATGAGGCCCAGAAGCAACGAAGGCTTCTTGCTGGGTGAGGCTCGCAGAGCCCTTACGGTCCGATTCGGAAACCCTTTCTGGCTCGCCTCAGGCTCCTTTACACTGGACTCCATAGGCTCCGGTGGCTCCAAGAAGTCGCCACGTGAAGCCAAGGGGTCGAGCATCTTTGTCCCTCTGCTGCATGATGTAGGCTTGCTTTATACATTGCGTCTCTCCATGTTTTCCGCCGACTGGACTGCAACCCTCTGCGACCCTCGCAGAGGTCGACTCCATCTCAAGGCAGCTTTCAGACTCCACGTCTCATGTCCCAGTGATGACTGGGCGCCGGAGGTAAAGCGACCTCACGAGACTAGGCCCCTCTCGAAAAGGAATCCGTTGCGGGCGACGGCTTTGCGTGGTGGTGCGGCCTCTTTTGAAGAATGCTGGCGGCTGACCAAGGGACCCCACAGTGCCGGGTCAGGAGGACGAAGGCCGCCCCAAGTAACTTCATGCTCAACTGCACATCCCCGAAACATACATCACAACCTTTGAACATGCCCTGGTCGGTTCTGCAGCACATTCACCCACAACCGGACTGCAGGTCTCAGTCCGGTTGCCTAGCATCAAGACTTTTCCCCTGCAGTTCAGGTTCCGAAGTGAGGAAGCGTAAGAAGAAGCACCCATCTTGTCTATGCTGCTTTATTCTTGCCCTTAACAGAAAGTCACCGTCGACTTTTTATCTTACCACTATCATCTTCAGCAGGCTTCCACTTTTTGAGTCACGGGCTGGGGCCGGCTTCCTCTTAAACCCAAATTTCTTTTTGCTAAAACCCCGGAAGTGGTGATGCCGTCCTGTGCGGCGTGCCGATTCCCGGAGGAGGACACGCAGGACACATGCAGCGCCACAAAGCAGCTTGCTGCAGGGCGGCAAAGTCTCATGATCTGAGCCTTCACCCACTTTTGAGCGCTCTTCCTATGTTTGCAGAGGCCGCTTCTGTGGCAGGACAGCCTTTGTGGTGCCTTAGGCACCTCGAAGACCTTACGTCTCACATGCTTGCACCCTAAGAGACCGAGACCGCTGCTTGGCAAAGGACGGAGGGCCCTAATCCTAAGCCCCAAATCTTCAACCCACCCCCAAACCAAAGCATGAGCCCTCAAACCTGGATCGTCCTCGCACACCCCCATGCCTGAACTGTCCTGAACCTAACGATCCGAACATCTCAACCCCTTGATCTCTGCATTCCTTGAGATCTTCGGCTTCAACGGATGCAGGACATTGCTTTCAACATCTTAAACCACCCCCCAAAGTCTGTAGCTGTGCAGCGAATTATGAGGAAGAGCGACGTTTCAGGGACTTAGGGCCGGGGTGGCGAAGGGTTCTCCATGAGCAGGTGGAACACCCTCTACCTCACGAGCTTTGAGAATGTGAGGCGGTACCTTTTGAATGCTAGGCCTCTGCCAGCATCGGAGCCTCTGCTTTTGGACTCCGGCCGACTGAAGCAAGAAAGAAGCACATCATCAGCTTAGGCCCAAAGATCGCGTTGATCTCGGGAGGCTCGCTGGCAACTGCCACGCGGGATGCTCATGATCACCACAGTGGACCCGAATCAACACCGTTGTTGCCCGAACATGTAGATTTCGAGACTTGGGCCATAGGCCACTTTTTTAAAGTGCCTGTCCTCTCGTCTCAGTGAAGTTCAAAGACGGTGCCCTCATGTCATTTCTGTCCGATAAGACGACATGGAGAACTGACTCATCCGCCTGAGAAGAAGAAGCCTCGGGGCACGTGAGCCACAAGTGGGGTGGCCATATTTCTACTGCAGGACATGCTTCAGAAAGGGCCCGAGGCTGAGAGAAGGGATGACTCTTCAAGATGCTAGAAGCCAGTCGGTGCAGAAGTGCCTGCAAACCGAATAAACCGCAGCTCGGCAAGCTGTGGTGACCTGAAGTCGTGGTGAGGCCGATGACCATGCGCCACCACAGGCCTTGGGACGGAGCACGTCAGCGGCATTTCTGGTTGTGGTACAGCCAATGACCCGTCGGACGGAAGCCGTGACGCCGCAACCCTACAGCCGACACCAGGGACAGGACCACCTCGTACTGCATGTACAATGGCAGGCTGGGGTGCGACCACGATCGCCGTGCTCAGAATCAGAAATTGACGTCTAGACAGCCTCGCTTCGTCAAGCGGCTTGTGCAACTGAGACTTACGAGCAGCAAACGTTCTGCCGAGAGGAGGGCAAGCAGCAGGGTTAAGCAAGCTTCCCGACCTCCAGGCCGCCCAACCCATCCCAACCCCCTTTCCCAGACTCCATGGCAGGATGTGGGAGCGGGGCTCCCGGCAGTGAGCCCTAACTGGAAGAGCTGCAGTGCGCAAGGAGACTCTCACAGGCTCCCATGACATGGGCTGAAGAACCCAAGCCTGGATTTGCACCTTTTAAAAGAAATGGCGCCTCGCTCAACTTCCCGCACACCTTTCCCAAAGCATCTGAAGCAAGGTAAGAACCCACAGCGTCTGTTTCATTGGCATTGGCTCTAAGCTTAGCTCATGAACCTTCCCTCTTAGCAAAAATTAAGACTCATTCCCAAATTTGCTGCCGCCGCCCCAGTCTTTTGGGCCCAAAAAAGATCTTCGTTGCCTCGCTTCCTGCCTCCTCGTCCCTTTTTGGGTGAAATGCAGAGCCACGCGGGGCCTCGAAACCCAGCTTCAAAAGCCGAAGCCGCACTAGGGCACGTCGATGGCGGCTCTCCGGTTTGAGTTCCTTGCACCGAGGAGGCCGCCCAAGCACCGGACGCAACGCCTCAGGTCCGGGTCATTTCGGCTAAGGTCCACTTTTCTCATACCTAGGCCCTATATAGGCCCCAGCTTCACCAACACCAACAAGCGTGTTGTTGGCGCTGGGAGCATGACATGTTGAAGCACAGGGCCAGACGAGTGACAGTAGCTGCGCTGCACGGGGCAGGTGAGAGGCATCTCGCATGCGAGCTTGAGATTCTCGGGCGCCTCAAGGACACTTACCAAGCCGGCGCTGTGCCCGGCCGGACGTCTCAAGCGGGTTGCTTCAAGTTACAGATCTCCTCACGTGTGCCGGTCAAGCACAGGCTGCCTGTGCCTGTCAGCCCCAAGAAGCAGAAGCCGGAGCAAAGAGGCAAGAAGCTGGGCTGTAGGTTCTTTTTCAACCTTGGATTGGGTTGCAGATGAGCACCTCGTGTGGAGCTTTGAATGAAGCCCGTGCGCACCACAACCAGCAACTCCCCACAAGCCTTATGGATGGATCAAGGCCCGGCAAGTTCAAGGATGAAGGCCCGGTCCTTTGTATCCCAGGTTGCCTGGAAGACGCCCCCTGTGATCGCACAAGTTTGGCATTGTCCCTTTTCAGCACGGGCTTCGCATAATCCTTTTTTTTGACAGGGACTGCAATGCACTAAGCCCTGCATTATCCCGAAAGCCGTAAACCCTATCGCTTCAAGGCTTCAAGGTGCCAGCCGAGGGCTCCAGCAGGTGGACAGTCCTCACGCCATGGCACGAAACCTGCAAGCGAAGCAGCTTGGAGCCTGGGGCAGAGGGCCTAGGCGTGTGAGGCAGGCAGGGGGACTTGGAAGAGCTCCATGTTTCAACATACGAACGGGGCTTCCGGAGCTATTCTGGCTTGAGCGAGAAGATTCGCGGATGCTTTCTTCGGGTCCATAGCCAAATTGAATGGGGGAGTCCTTCCGCTCGAGCGAAGATCAGAAAACTTGTGCTTTAAAGCAAAGGGCAAGGACCAGAAGGACCCCCTGCGAAGTCCAATCAGCCCGTTCTTTGCACGGACTCGGAACGACGCCTTTAAATCCCAGACAGTGCTTTCTTGTCCAAGGATGCCAAGCCAGGGAGATCGAACAGAAGCAGTAGGCAGCGCGGCTGGAGAACTTGAGCCGAAGGCCTACTGCGAAGCTAGGACTCCGAAGCCTGGGAAAGTGCTGTGCAAGAGTGTCTTGTTGCAGTCTACATAAGAGCCTCCACATCGCATGAAAAGGTAGACCCCAACAAATTCAACCCAGGCAGAAGGTGGCCTGGCACTTGCGTGTCCTGATTGGGTGTGCGGTTCGGGAAGGTACACAGATCCCATAGAGCCGTCTTGCTTGACTCTTGCATGCGAGTCCAGCGGCATGGAGAAGCCCTTGTTGTGCATGCCCTAAACCCGAAGCCCTTCGACAAGCGTAGCTTGTGCCCGCCAAACTCATTACAAGTCCAGCACGCTCAGGGCGACAAACGATCCGATTTCAGAAAAGCCAGAGGAGTGTAAGACATCCTGCTTTTCAGTCTGAGCTTTGAGGATTCTCCATCAGGCTCTAGCCGGCCACACTTCAAAGGTGTACCGGCTGCATGGCTTGGGACTGCTAATTGAAGGCTGGCAGAACACTCAAATCACGGCGTGCTGATCTCGTGAACTGCTGCCCAACACTTTACGAAGGCTCTATCAAAGCCCACCCGCCTTGCTTGAGATGCTTGCACAAGACTCCTTGATTCAGGTTAAGGCATGGACGGGTAGATTGCTGCCGGCCGGGGCTGTTGACGATTAGGGCTTATATAGGGTGTACATGAATTACATGTATATGGTCTATTCAATTCCGTGTTGTCGGACTTCAGCCTGCCATCCAGCTTTCGAAGTATCGACCAGGCCCTTCGCCTCATGAGAGACCTCTCTATAAAGGTGGTGAAGAGTTCGTGCGCCAAGTTTTGGGAAAGAGGCCAGCGCAGAAGAGGTTCAGGGGCTAAGCCGCCTGCCTGACGTGCTGGAACTGCGAGTGGGTCCACTCCTGCTGAAAGTTCCGTAGTCCATGCTTCAGACCCGAGCAACGACTGTGTAGTTCACACGTGCAGTCCACGGAGTTGGCAGAGTTTCGTCTGTCAGGGTACATCACAGCCGGTTGAAGCCCTCTGAACATCCTTGCGGGTCATCGAAGGGTATTGCCACCGAGATCGCGGGGCCGGCGGGAGTGCAATCATTGTAACCACCTTACGGCTGTAGCACCGGATGTTATGTCCTAAGATAATATTCTGTGTTCACTACTTCAGCCCTAAGCGGCGTCCGTTTTTGCAATGTGAGACTGGGATCATTGCAACCATTTCGTGTCCATAGTTCTTCTCGTTGCAACCTAAAGACGTAGAGGCCGTGCTTCGAGCTTCGGGCGACGCGGCATCGCAACCATCCACAGCATCAGCCCCACCACCTAAACTGCCTTAAACCCACAAGAACCGGATCTGAACTCGCGAAAACTCATGCCGGCAATCTCAGCTTCGTCAGACGGCCTTACCCCCTCATTTCTCCGAGTCCAGGGTCTAGCGCAATTTCAGAAAAGGGCTCCGGCTGTTCGGGCTTCGCGATATCTGTGCAATGGGTCGTGATTGAGGAGTAAACAGGACTTGGAGAGCAAGCAGGGAAGCAATAGTGCTTCTCTATGCAGACACCGTTCTTCTCCACACCTGAACCACCACGAATGCAGAAATCCCGTAACTTTGATCATAGGCTTTTCAATTCACAGGCTGAGTTGCTAAGTACGCTCACAAACCAGTCACGGACTCCGCATCAGCATCCACCGGGCAACCTTGAAGCAGTCCGGGATCAACCCCCATGCACCGTATCATCTCATGGTGACCTGTACACGTCTCATAGAACGTGCATGAAGCGGAAGGTGGGTCGCGTTGCAATGTCGCGTCTGTCTTGCTGTTTGGGGATTCCAAAGTGGAAAAACCAGGACTGGCAAAGGCCAGGAGGGAATGTCGAAGAGACCTGAAATAGAACAGGCTGACACAGACGTGTTTCGAGTTGCTGCGGTGTATCTAAGCAATGAAGGAGAGAGCCTGGTCTCTGAACTCTGAAGCTTCATGGCTGACGCAAGGGCCGTGAAGAGCCAGTCACGCACTGCAGCTCCAATGTGCAAGCTCTGCTAGCATTCCAGTCCCAGTCCCCCGAGCCGGATTGCATCACACTCCTCAACTCCCCTCGTCTCGTCTGCGCACGCATGAACGCCCTATCAGGCTATCAGGGTACTTTAGTCGAAAAAGTTCGGACTAGTCAACCCACAGGTCCCAACGTCTCCCGTTCCGGCTCGAAGCAGGTGAGACCCGGAGCCCTGAGAGAATCCACCGGCTCAGACCGGAAGCAGTCTCGGAGTTTGTGCCCACAGTGGCATTAAGGGCCTTGGGAAACAATGACGGCTCCCAGTGTCAACCGGCAGGTCCAAGGAAACGTGGGAAGGACCAAGATCCCCACGATGTAGGACTCTGCAAATCTCTGAAGGATGTCCGGTCAGATAGGCCTGTAGCGGGTTTCAGGCACCTGCAAAGGCCTGGGCGAACACAGGATCCCGGGCTCAGCACTTTGGAGCGCCAGGGAACAGAGGCCCCTGAGCCCAGCTCCAGGAAAGGCAATGCTATGCCATGCCAAAGCGGCATCCGTAGCTTCGCTGACTGTGGGGACTCACTATTTTGGAGCTTTCTTCTTCTGGCTCCCTCAGCTTCAGGAGCTGCCCATTCGTCTGCTTATCTGCCATGCACGTGGCTCAGGAGAGCAGAGCAAAACAGGGTCATGTCATCGGCCCCAGAGGAAAGGTCTGGAGGCTGATGGAATCCTTGCGTTAAGGACCAAGAGCACCGAGCCGTGTGAGGTAGACACTCCATGGTCGGGGCCTTTGCCCAGAAGACTCTGAAAGCAACCCCAGAGAGCTTGCGGCCATTCCCACATCTCGCTGGGAGAAGGGCTCCCAAAAAGAACTGTGCCAAGCAGTGCTTCGCGAAAGGATTCACTTCCTGAAGGTTCCCGGCGTCACGAGCACTGCCAGGCGTTAAAAGATGTAATCCGTGCCGTGCGGCTTTCGTGCCCGGGCAAGGACGGATTTGTGGAAGGAACTTGTATACTCTATGAAGCATTGGTCCGCAAAGAAAGCTCCTCTGCAGCCTATGCCGGTCGTCGCAACATCTTCCTTGACCACCTTCCACGAACGGAAGAGCAAACACGAATGACGGAGGACCCCACAAATGAATGAAACTGCTGCACCGGTCCTTGGCCCCGCAGGCCTAGACGCAGTCTCGGCATTACGGCCATTACGGCTCCGCTACACCATTGCACGCGAGCCAACCTCTTGCATCGTAGACTCGCATGGTGAGAGAGTCCAAGGAACGCATGCCCGCACACAAGTCGATGCGGGTGCACGTGTTATCGCACCTCCTCTGCCGCTCACCAAGCTATGCTGCCGAATGCGACCCGCAGGCGCACTTCAGATGCTCCTGTGTTTTCACTACTGTGATTTGTTCGCGAAAACTGCCCAGTCCGACGCGATACGTGGAAGCCTGCGAAGCCAGACCTTGCTGATCGCTGGCCTGGCAACCCGGACTGTGACAAAGCTCACGGAAAGCACCCGCCCCTATGGTATGAGACTTCATCGTACTACATCGCGCTGCAGGTAAACTTTGGGCAAGCAGACAGCGCATGATGTACAACATGACGCCGCATGACGCCGGGCGCGCCCAGTGCATTCTTTGTGTACGGCACAAGTCGGACACACTGGCATACACTATGTTCGCGTTCACTATACTGAACTCAACATGTCTGCAATACTCCCTCGCACCAGATTCAAAATGCTGGCATACACGCGCAATGCTCCATACTGCCTTACCAGACTGAACAATCTGTGACAGTTTGCTGCAAGATCCAGAGTGGACTCTTCTACCAGCATTAGACGGACTGCATGATACGAGCACGGCACTCGCCAGCGACTCTTGGCTGCATACATCATCTTGTACCAAAGCTGGAGTATCTGGAAAAACTGCATTGAGAAGTGAATGATGCTAAATGCGAATCCTACCACACAGCCATGCTAATACTTGTGCTTATACTCTGTATATATACATGACCATACATGAATCCACCCATTCATCCATCCATCCATCCATCCAAACATCCATCCATCAATGTATCACAAACAAACATTCATGCATAGACTCATACGTCGTGTTTCTGTCACGAATACACTGTCGCAGTTTGCTATGGTCGCCTCCTGAAATACAACTTAGCAGCCAGCGCAGAATGTGTACTTTGCTTCTGTAAGACTAGTCCGATGGTACTTCTGCACTTCTAGTCCTCTGCTCTTTCAGGCGTTCCAACTGCCTGCCGGACGTCCCACGCTGCAGCGGCACCATCCGCAGTCGCAGTTGGAGGCCTGGGCTTTATCCGGCGATGGGAAAGGTCAAGGTTAAGCTAACCAGTGATTTTGGGGTTCCCTTGGCTCTATAGCTCCTTATCTAGTAGGGATTATCATCATCCCTGGCTCCTTAGATCCCCCAATGTCAATGGTTAGTAAGGGTTGGTGAGAACCAGGTTTCAGAAGCTGTTTGGCTTGTGCAGACTGGGTCGGTTGTTTGACTACTTTCTCTCCCTCGGAGTGCCTTGTCTGTTTCATTTGGGTCCATGTTCTCTGCCCAAGCTAGTTCAGCTGCCTCTTCGGGTTGTTTGTTATCCCTGCCAACGCCGCTGCCCAGGCAGCTTTACCAGAGGTTCGCATTTGTTTGTGCACCGTCTTTTTGTATCGTTTAACCTGACTTTGTCATATTTCGACGTGCAATCGTCCGCGGAGCCATGTTCGTATCAGTCTGGGAATGGGCCCAGGTCTGGGGCCTTCCGGTCCCTTCTGCCTCTTCACCTTGCTCCCTGCTCACCTCAGCAGCAACCAGAGCTGAGGGCATGACAAGACAAGCCTAAGCCGGATGTGCATGTGAGTTATCAGCTTAAAACGAGATCGACTTGGACTGGACCCCAGGACCAAACCAAACCGTAAATAAATCCTAGACCAGCAAACAATATAAACAAGTTACCATATAGATATATATATATATATGTATATGCTTAAGCGATCTCGACCAACTCTACCCACTACCCACATGATGGATGAATGGAAAATAATAACTGAAACTTTTGCACACAGTGTTTACGCGAAAACACCTCTCAAAAGCTTTGGTCTCGGAGTTCCCCTGGCGGAATCGACTGCGTACTCTTCCTCAAACACAGCGTAGCCCCAAACCTTAAAACCTAAATGCCAAACCCTAAACCCCTGCAGCCAAGACTGGCCAAGAGGCGCACCGCCAGTAGATGGCTGGCGCAGGCCTGATGGGTAGTTATACTCTGGTGGCTACAAGTAGGGGACTTATAACCCCACCTCTAACCACAAAATTGGAGTTTCCGAAAACTAGGGGTACCTTGTTTGGGGTCCTTATAAAAAGGATCCTACTATTTTGGGTACTATGTTAGGGTCCCCTATTTTCGGAAACTCCCAAATGAACCTCCAAGTAAGTTCATCCAAAAGTCGACTGCTGGGTTCCTTGGATGCGACTCGGGTTTGAAAGCGTAGACACGGGCCTGGTCGAAGGGCCCTGGAACGTGTTGAGACAGCATGGTCCTCCTTGGTGATAACATGAACCTCATCATTTGTTGTGTTATATATATATATATGTGTGTGTATACATGTGTATATAAATATATGCACATATATACTATATACTACATCTACTACAAATTTCGTATACCTTACAATATATCCTATGTTGCTACAGTAGCTCCCGAGGCCTCCGGCACCACCCACATCACGCCATGACGGAGGACATGTCCTTTCCGGATACTCCAGAGGAGCCTCTCAAAACAGGAGGCCTCGAGCCGAGATAGCCTTGAGCTCTTGCATTGGTAATTTGTTGGCCTCCCGCCTGGCTAGGACAAACCCACGATGCAGAGTCTGACAACTGGATCACTCCACAATGTACTGGTGATTCTACCATGGGTTTAGCATGGTTTAGCGTTTGATGCGTTTGGGGACTCAGAGGCATAAGGTGCAGCAATTGGGCCAATCAGCCAAGTGCTAGGAGCAGCTGCCAGGAGGAGATGCGTTGGGGCTTGGCGCCGCTCGGAACTGTCTCCATCTCAGGGCTCCAGTACACACCGAAAACTTCGACAAGCATTGAAGGACGAATAGTACTTGTAACGGAAAATTTCTGCAGTCCTCGTGAACCCCACGCTGCGATGATTATCCGATCTGCAAGACCGCACCAGATGAAGGGAGCCACCGACTCCATATTTCGCGCTTTTTGTGCGGCTGGTACTTTGCCAAAATCAGTCGTGCTAGCCTATGATCTTTGCCTTGGAGGCTGTGCAGCTTCCAGCTACCTTTGACCCTCCGACTGCCTACAGTACGCGGTATTGTCCTGGCAGCCACCATGGCAGTGAAGATTAGCAGAAACGGTTGAGACTGCAGCTGCAGTGGCTGCAGCTAACATGACCCACGTACACCGCTCCCCAACGAATGCTGTTCCGACACTGTTGCTGCTGCTGCAGTCGAGTTTGAGGCAAGGCTTCCACAAGCAGAGGTGGCCTGGGAATGATTCCCTGCGCTGCGAAATGGACCCCGTTGTGTTGGGGGCTTTCTTCAGTGAGACCTGGCACTCTTCGTGCACCACTAGACTGTTAGCCCGCCTAGCTTGCCAGGACAAGGACCCGAGTGAAACTGGTAACTGGACAAGCATGCCCACAGGTCCATGAGATCCTGGGCAGGCTTGCTAGCCTACGACATCCTACCACTGCACACTTCTCAGAGCAAAGGAACCGGACAGTAAGGGCTTCATAGCTTATCTTCATGAAAACATGCCTATGCCCGAGCTGTTCCCCAGCTGTTGCATGGCCAACTGTGTGTGGCAAAATCTCTTCGACCTCGGCCTCTTCTGAACCGCCAGTGAAGAGGTATAACAAAGCTGTGGTGTCTGCTGGCTGCCATGTACCCTCGACGGCGACGGCAAAGCCATCTTCGGCCAAGCTGGCCGGATGTGTGGAACCATTTCAGTATTTCGATCCTGTTTCATCGGAGCTACATTACTACAGTTTTCGCAACTTCTGACAAGCAAGGCATTGGCGCAAGCACACTCAGACGGGCCAGTCATGTGGGAACGCGTGGGTGTGTGTTCCACGCGGGAAGCATCCCATACATGTACTTAAGCTATGCTGGTACACTTCGTCACAGTTTCAGCAGCATGACTGGAAAAATGGCTTCTCCCTGCCCCCTCTTGTGGCGGGCAGGGCCAACTCAGGCCCGGAAGTTTCTCGGACTGCTTCCGCAAAAACAAGGTCTGCGCCGCCTGCAGGATATGCGAGATCTCACACCAACAGGCTTTAGATCATCCCATATTACAATTACAATTATTTCTATTATTATCATTAAAACTGATAGCATAAGAACTATTTGTACTACCATCATTACAAGTCTTATATTTGTTGTCCGTTTGATTGCTAGTACAAACATCCCGCCTCTTGGAGGATCAGTAGCGGCAAACCTCTATGTCGAGTCTTTCGCCTTGGACCTGGGAGCTGTGGCAACATCTCTTGGCTCAAAATGGGAGCTTCCGAAGATTAGGGGTACCTTACTTGGGGGTCCTTGTAATAAGGATCCTACGATTTGGGGTACAACACGAAACCCCCACATTGCCGTCGGCGGCCCTGAGGCCTAGAGTTCCCCAGACGGCTCCTCGCTCCCGCCTGCTTGAAAGCCGCCTGCTTGGAGGTTCATGGGCAGTTACAAGTGGGGTTATAAGTAAGGTAAGTATACGTATAACCTCTAAATAGGGGACTTATAACCCCACAGATAACTACCCATGAACCTCCAAGTTGCCTTCTTGAAGTGTAAGTGCGGGGCTGCAGCCATTTTCATCTTCGCCATCAACTCCGCTGGGTCTTGGCGCGTGGCAGATCATTATAGATGCTAGATAGGATAGGCCGTACCGTTCGCGCACGACTACATAGCTACGTCTCTGTACCTTCTGAGTATTTCGGAGCCATAGAGGCCCGGCCTATCTCTGTATCACATCTGAATAAGTCTGTAACACACAACTCGTCTCAGACGTTCTCAGACCCAGGCTTCCCTGGGAGCCATTGACGGTGATTACTCGGTCGCGCCGCTTTATTCCCATGCCTGACGTGGAAGTCTGATGAAGTGTGGAAGGCGGCACTTTTTTGGCTCCGCACCTCTGTGTGATAGGTTCCAGTCCTTGATAAGGCCGGGGTTGACCTGAGAACGTTGGCACAGCTGTGTGCACGCGATACTCGAAGACAATAGCATCCCCTATTCGGGCGAAGCTGTTGCATTGCTGTTTTCAAGTCGACCTTGCTCCGGCTGTCACCTTGATGTCCTCTTTTCGCAAATTGAATAAAGTGGTTTAGCCTCGAAGCTGCTTTGCAGCTTCGAAAATTCGAACCAGGAACAACGCATTGGGCGACATGACATGTAACAGCCGAAAGACTGGGTTCTTGTGACGGAATCTTACTTAAGTTACCACTCTAGGGATCTACAGTACAAAATATGGTTTCCTTACTATGATAATTCAACTAACTTCCCCAACAAGAACCCAAAAGAGGCTTCAAGCAAGCCTCCACGACTGCCTCGCCAGGAACAGTGCTCGCAAGCGGAAGCCGACTTACAAGAGTGGGTAGGAAACCCGGCTCCTGCGCCGGAACCCCCGGCAACCGAGTCATTCAGCGGTTGAGGCTGAGGAATGGCTCTCACACGCGAGACATCACATTGGGTGAGACTCTTTCCTCGGGCTCGCAGAACCATAGAATTGACAATGGCTCAATTCAAGCGCAGACAGAAATGCTTTTTTTGTATCTGCATGTATGCATTCCACGACATCGCAGAACACGCAACTCGACGATGAGTATTCTCAAAGTTGAATCGCGACAACAAGCTGGCCTATTCTCGAAGTAGCTTCGCACTTCAAGGCCACCGCAGTTCTGTCGGGAATTGAGAGTGCGATTGCCAGGTACCGAGACATGGCCGACCCTGCCACCGGAGGCGGTCGGATGCATCGGTTCTCACCCAGTCTGCACACGTAAGACTGTCTGTTGGGAAAGAGACAGCTGGCAAGATTGGGACAACACCAAGATCTTGCGCATCCCCATTCAGATTGTCCCATAGCCGGGAGGCCAGGAAACCGTTCACCAGCCGAAAGTGCAACCTTTCAACCGTCTGCTTAGCTTGTGGAACTATGTAGTGGAGGAGGAGACCATGGCAGGGTGGGGTACATTCTGAGCCTTGGCTATCATGCATTCTCATGGACTTGGGCGTGCGCGCCCATGGCGAGCACCGGGCCTGGTCGTGGACATTTCCTGTGGCGATTGTCTATGAAGGCAGGATGTGTCCTTCTCACCTTCCGCTGAAAGGGTTTTGTGTTCGGGAAGCGCGCAGGCTTTCAGGAGCGACATACATGCACGATATGTATCTAATAATGATGTATGTATATATATATATATACACCCACACCTACACATTATCATATTCTTAGATTAGATTAGAGTAGACTGCATTATTTCACATGACATTACATTACATGGTACTATGTGATAGTTTGTTATATTATGCTATATATAGCCGTATTTATACATCTGTATTATATGGAGTATCCAAACAGCATCAAACAACAGCTACTAACATCTTGAAACATCGGGCGGCTCTGACGTGCCTCTTCTCTTTGCATCTCTCGCCACCCCTCTCAGTGCCTCCCAATGATACCAGCATGAAACGCTGCGTCTACTGCACCTGGTGTATTAGATTGGGGCAGGTGCAGGATATAAAGAAAGGCATACTGGTCTTCCACATGTCATAAGACCCAGACCCGTCCTACATCTTGGGGGAAATCCTCTTGTTATTTCTTTTTTTTGCACCCGTTGGAGGACCACGAATGTGGTATAAGTTGTTACTTCACTTGAAGGCTTACCCACGTGAATTTGATTCGGGAAATCTGAAAGGGGACATAAATCACAGCTTGAACCAGGTTTCCCGGTTCGCCTGTCAAGACTATTCTCTGACTGACTCAAAAATGCAGAACATTCAGTTGGAAGCCAATGCTCCCAACAATGGCAGTTGTGAAGTAAACAAACTTCTGCAGGACACCCAGAGTGACGCGGGTATCCCACATGAAGAATCCGGACTCGCTAAGGCTCAGGAACAATGACAAGTTCATGTACCCCTGCTCTACCTCTGTGTCGTCGTCATCCTTGGCTGTGCAACTTCTACAGATGAATCGACGCAGCCCAGAAACGAATGGTGCTGGGCTCAGGGTTCAGTGCCAGTCTGGCTTTCTGCGGCTAGGCAGCGAGCATGCTGACCAAAGATGGGAGCCGTGTGCAGTGGGCCGTTGCAGATGCTGCGACATACCTCGGTAAGGTACAGGTCCCGTCCATCACTTGTCGTACTCTCGGCCCACTCATGCAAACAACAGCTGACGTAAACAGTTGAAACTAAGCCCAAGAGGCAGCGAACTAAGCAGGCTCGCAGCGACCACCAGATTCGGCAAAACAACCATCATCGGGCCCTGACCGGTGAGAAGGTACGCAAAGCTCTCATGACAGAGCAACCTGTTCTTCTAGCTCCATGAACTTTAGAGAAGCGGCCAATAAAGCTAGAGGGACTGTCATTTTCTTGTCTAGCGACCTGGCCAAGAAGAGAATCTCCTCTACTCATCTCTCTCGTTCGAGTCCCATTTGGAATGCAAACGCCCTAAGCAGGCGCTCAATAGCTTTAAAGGGAGGAACATGGTGGGGAGAAAGGCCTGCTCCCTGTGGGCTCAGGTTCCGGCCCTTGTTTGGCTAAGGTGTCGCCCGGACACAAGGCCTATCCCGCAAGCTCCCGAGGCCCAGCAACTCTTTTTTGCAAGCTGTAGTCCAGAGAATCGGTCTACCTCGAAGCCTGATCCCGCGTGCGCCTGGTGCATGTCGTAGAGAGCAGCAAAAAATACAAGGACTGTCGTGAGTGCCAAAGCCGCAGAGGTGAGCTGGTACATGCGCGAAGCTTGGCGCATGCAACCTTTGCCGACACATGCAGTTTTCAATCGCATACCCTCTGCCCAAGCCAGTCTCGCTGCTTGCACTCCATTTTCCAACTTCAATCTAGTTCAGATTCTTCCATGGCTCTACTCCATCCTAATCGCCTGGGAAGCGTCTAAGTTTCAGTAGTGACCGCTACCGTTAGCTGTAAACACACCTCTCGCCCTGAGCGGAGGGGTTTAAGATGTGGACAGACACGGGATCCACCGCCATCGCCTCGCGGGGACGGGTCTAAAGAAATGTGAAGTCAACCGCCATCGCATACTGAGGGAAGGAGTGTACGATACGGGATCAACCGCCGTCGAATCACGGCTTACGAGGTTAAGATGTGAGATCAACCGTCATCGCCTGATGAGGAACCGGGTTGAAGATATGGGATCGACCTGCACTCGCCTTGAGGCGGGGATTCGGGACATGAAATCAATCGCATCGCCAACTGAAGGGGCGGATTCAAGACATGAGATCAATCGCTACGGTCCAACAGGAGAACCACCATTGCCTCATGACCTTTCTTCATGAGGGGGCGGATTCAACATGTGAACAGACATGGGGTCGACTGCCATCGGCTAATTGGGGAGGGGGTAGTTTCAGATATGAGATCAGCCGCGCTTCCCTAACGAGGGGCCGGGTCTAAGATACGGGATCAACCGCACTCGAAACATGATTGAGATGTGACATCACTCGCCAGTTCACTCTGAAACTCTCGAAGTTTCATGTCGAACTCGACGCGTTTCGAGCCTTCCAACTTCTTAAGCTTCCAAAGCTTCGAAGTCGCAAACCTTCGATGTTTCATGCCGCTCAATTTCAAGCCCGGAACTTTCAAACTTGCAACACTTCGAGCTTTCAAAACTTCAAGATTGAGACGGTTCAAACTTTCTCGCCTTCGAACTTTCTTCGAAGTTTCGAACTTCTAACTTTCATTTGAGAGACGATCTAACTCGGCGGCGGCTAGAGCTAGAGTTTGCGGCTTGAAGTCGAAGCAGCAAGTCAAGCTCAAAAGGTTGCAAACTGAAAGGAAAGTCTCGAGATTGAAAAGTTCGAAGTTTGACGTCCGCCCTCCTGCGCGCACCAAGGTGCCGAAGCAAGCGCTCCAGCGCCGTTCTTCGAAGTTTGAGACTTTCCAGCTTCAAACCTTCGAAGTTTCAAACTCTCGAACCTTCGGGGACGCCCTTCCCAGTCAATGGGCTGTGACCCCCGCGCTTATTTGCAGAAACCTTCCCTGTGCAGAACTCCCTGGCAATCTTTGGCAGAAAGAGAGCAGGCAAAGACATCAATGTTTTCTGCCCCGGGGCTTGTCATCTCTCGCCATTTCGTTCGGGCCGCCTGGCCACTGACGTGACCAGTGAGGAGGGATCGGGCAAAGGCAACGATGGTCAGAGACACACCACGCCAGCAGGCTACTTGAAGATAGCAAGCTCCTTCGCACAAGCACAGGGCTTCACAGTCCATTAAAGGGGTGGAAAGCCTCACGGCAACACGTGGAGAAGCTGCGACGGTGTCCTAGAAGAGCCGCGGAAGCAAAGGCATGAAGGATGATCTGGCAAACGAGCGAACCATCCCATTCCGCTGCAGAGCTGTGGAGCCAAAGACGCGTGGCCAAAACAGCCATCCAAAGCAGCACCTGAGAATTTATTTAGGTTTCAGAGAATGTTCGTCTGACTACCTTCACTTCCGTAACTGGCCGTAACTGCTATAAGCTTCAGCAGCTTCACTTCGCGTGTTCGAGGCAGGGCGCCATGGCGAAGCCATCAGTAACCTTCTGTGTCCTCAGATGCTGCTCTAAGCCCGCGCAGTGGATGCTCTCCTTCAGGTGCTCGGCGATCTGAATCTGCATCTGTGCACCCTTGAAGTAGTTTTTGAACCCACCACAGGACCCGACAGCCATTACAGCACCAACCGCAATGGCCAAGTCCGTCGCCGGCGGTCCGCTTGCACATAGATCGCTTGGGCTGCAAACGCTCAGTCTAGCGGCTTTCATCCAAACTCCCACACAGCTGAGACTCAACACCAGGCAATGATATGCTTTCGACACCAGCATCACGCTCGGGTCCAAATCCTCGCACTCCTCTTCTGGGTTCTCGATCCATCGCTGAACCAAGGGCGTGAGGCCGCACAAGCGTGTCCATGCATCGCAGCAGGCCAACCAGCAGGAAACACAACTCTCACCTCGTCGCGAAAATAGCTGGAGCTGCTGAACGATATATACATAATTACATGATATACATATACATATACACATATATATATAGAGAGAGTAGAGAGAGAAAGAGACAAACATATGCAAGGGTATGTAAGCACGCATGTATGCATGTCTGTGTGTGTTTTTGTTTGGGGCATGTGTATATGTGTGCATGTATGCATGGATGCTTGTAAAGAGACGCATGCATGCATGCATGCTCAAACTATACAAACAGCATATTGCCCGATGCACATGTTGCATACATATGCATGGTACAGACATCTGGCGATATATATATATATATATACATATATATATATATATATGGTACCCCCCCCCCCCCAAAGACCAAGGTTTCTGTACGAGCTTTAGATACAAGCCTACTTACACTAGCCGATAATCGTTGGTCTTTGCAGGGGCAGGGTGCCAATAACAACCCTGTTAAGGTGTAGGGACAAACATGCATGACACAACCCCCTTGTGGTTTTCATACAAGCCTGCATACAACAATCCTTATACCATTTCCTGTCGCACATTCCAGGAGGCCTATCGAATTCAATAGGCCCTATTGAATTCAATAGGCCTTCTGGATTGAAGATTGAAGATGCCCTCAAAAAGTTTCCTGAGAGATCTTCAATCTTCAATCCGGGAGGCCTATTGAGTTCAATACGCCCTATTGAACTCAATAGGGTTTATCTTGAAATCGATCATGAGGGCCGTAGGTGGAAGTGTGAAAATTGGGTTCAGGGGTCAAAGTCTACCGCTGCGTTGCGTACTTTTGGAGTACACGCATTTGGGTTAAAAGGGCTATGAAGAGAAAGTCATCAACTAGACGTATGATACTACCTTTAAGCTTCCCTCAACGTATTCTTTTGAATTACGCCCAGCTTAACCTCAGATAACACTACTATTTTTATGCAGCAAATGCAGTTGAAATACTAAGAATATAATAGAGGGCTCAATCTATCGAACTGTATACTACTGAGGTATCAAAAGCACATACTTTAGCGTCCATGTAGCTAGCAATCTATGCATGAATGTATATGTTCGATTCAACTATTGGAAAGACTACAAAATGCACCGTATTGTTGTAATACTTAGAACTGATTTGACATAAGTAAATAAACACTCCGCCTAAATAGGTCCGGGGATCTGGCCTATCCAGCTGTTTGCTGTGAAAATAATATTCTACAGCTATATACTAAGCTACATCTTCACATAAGTATAACGTCGTCCCTACAGGCACTACTGTGAATACATTGCTTTCTGAGTTCTAATTAATCGGCAGACAACAAACCCTCTATGCTATTCTTATATTTAAATCTGACGATTGTCAGCTCAGCAAGCCCTATGCTTGAATTGATCCGAGGATTCAATTCAATCTACCCAATCATCTAATTACCAACATACAGAAAAATAATGTTTCTACAGTCAGTAATCCGTATAAGTATGTCATTATCCCTGGGTGTAGTGATATCATATGAAGCATTATAAATATAGTTTTCTGTCTGTTCGTGTTAACTGGCAAAGCACTTCATGAATAGCTTAGTTGTAGAGAGATTTCTTCAGGCTGTTTGGCTCCTATTCTTTTTTTGCTTCCAAGGTTCTACTATACTGCTTCTATTAAGCAGCTATCTGGGCAAATCGCAACAAGGAATCTCAAGCCATATTATTAGCAGTTAACAGTCCCTGTAAATTCGATTCCAAGAATGAAATGGTGCGCTAGATGGTAACACCGAGGTCTTATACTTAATAGGCATGTTTAACCTATTAGACTCTATGCTTGATATCTCAAACATAAAGTCTAAGAAGACATGTCTTTGAAGGGCAACATCTGTAGTAATTAACAAACCCCGGAAGTTCAATTCTATATTCAGCTGGCAAATAGTTAACCTTTTCTTTTCGCATACAATAAATGGTACGCACTAAACGATGGCATCGAGGCTCTATGCTTGGTAGGTGTTTTTAAACGTTACAAGTAGCTTGATTTCTTAAAACCAACAGTATAAGAATAAATGTGTTTGTGGGGTTGACCACATACTACAACTGAAGCTAATAAAGCACACGGCACGGGGCGAGTTTTCCATACGAAGTAAGCCGTCAACAGAATATGGCGCTTGAATGGAAAACGTTTTGGTCGTGATCGCGCTTAGAATGGCTCTAGGCGAGAAAACCAAAAAACAATACCAACAAAAAACAAAAAAACAATACCACCAAAAACAAAAACACTACCAAAAAAAATATCTCAGTACTCTTCCAGAATAGCATTAGAATTCTATATTAATGGGAGCACCCACCAATGTTCTTATCTGAAAACCTTGGTCTTTGGGGGGGTATCATATATATATATATATGTTATTAACGGTAATTGATAACACGTGTTGTATATACTGTCTATTTACAATGTGCTCGATCTTCCATACTACGGCAGAAGCTATGTACAATAAATATGCCAGATATTCTGTACAATCGCCATGTCGCTATATCTAATTTACCTGATATTTATTTTGCGTGTCTTGTTTATATATATATATATATGTTTGTGTGTGTGTGTGCGTGTGTGTCATATACTTCGTACATTACAATACAATTGCTACGCTGCTCATGTTTCTTCTGTGTACACACACACACATATATATATATATAGACAATATAGACATGCTGTCTATACACATACAAGTATCTCTGTGTGTGCATATGTACGAAACTGTTCCACACAAGCTACAAATACTACGAGTACCACGCCCGCGGCCCGCTCAGCCGAGGCACAGCAGACGGTGGGCTCTTCTTGCTCTTCGGAGGTGGTGGGCACCGTCAAGACGGTGCCGGTGGCTGCGCTTTTGGGGGATGCAGGACTTAGCTGGGCCTCGCGACTTTGAAAAACGTTGCTCAAGGAAGTGCAGTGGTCTTTGGGGGAACTCTTGGGCACCGACGACCGTGGACTCGTTGGAATCGGAACAACCTGGACTGCACCAGATGCTCTCTTGCCAACCGGGCTCGGGTTCTCCTCGAACTTCAGCGATTGTTTTGAACGTGACGCGGGAAGAACAGCAACTCCATGCGATGATCCCACATGATAGGTGCCGCTTCTCTTGTAAGCGGATTTGCCGTGGGCAGGATCATCCCGATTTTTCCTTGCTGCTTTCATGACTCTTTGCTCCAACATCTCGTCGATGTTGGTGAAATCCGAGACACCCCGGGACGCCTTTGAAACCATTGAGTTGCAGCGCAGCTTCGGGGACTTTGAGACTCGCGAGACGAACGAGGAAGCATCACGAACTTCAGGCTGAAGTGCCTGAAGCTTCTCCTGGGTTCATCTTAAGGGATTTAATTTAAATTCCCATAAAAGTTAAGGAACTTAACTTAAATTCCCATAATAGTATAGGGATCTTTAGTAATTAATATGGTTTCCCTATGTTTTACCTTAAAATACATCCCCTTAACAAGAGCCCAGTCTCTTCCACACCCGCCATGCGAAGCCGCAGCTGCTGCAGTTCTTTGCCCTGGCCCTGACAAAGCCGAATCAGGGTGTCAAGCTTCGCTTCGATCGACTGGTCCACACCTCAGTTCTTCTTGTGGGATACGATTGGTTTAAGTCACCATAGTGGGACTCTATGGATCTACGCTACCAGAAAGGCATCTATAGTAGATGACATGGTTTCATTTTCCGGTAACTTCAACTCCTCAACCAGAATCAGAACCCAGACACACTCGATCGAAGCCGTGGGCTCCACTAAGAGATGAGCGCCCGGTGACTCAGTTTCGATCTCAGCCTCCATGGCTCCAAGGACACGACGGAATTCAACTAAGTCTATCGGCACCTTGAGAGCTCCCACCGGCCGGTACCGAAGGGTACTTCCATGTTGAATATTGTGGCTCCCTCACGCCTCAAAGTTCCAAGCCTCTTAGGTTTTGGCTTGCCCTGGCAGGTCTTTGCCAAGCAAGGTCTAGAAGATGCATCTCTGAGGCAACAGAAGTGATGCCACTCCTTACAAATCGAAACATGAGGCGAGCTCACGGATGAGGTGGGAACAATGCATGTTGCGCAGGAATGCCTGAACCTCCCGATGCCCATTCCATGGCCTATGGATCAAGAGCTGCAACGAGCCATTCTGGCCAATTCCGCTTTAACTATGGTTTTGGACATAATCAAGGCTGAATGATGGGAGGGAGGAGCATCGAATGTATGTAACTGGAAGTCATCAATGGAAGACGAGCCTCTGCCAACATGGGCCCAAGCAATGCACAAGGTAGCCGAGCTTGGCCACTTCTTGTTCCAACGACAACAAAGGCTTCTTCGAACAAGATAACAACATGAGTCTAAAGCCGTGAACACTCCGTGAACCGATGCTGGCCTCGGGGACTCTTATTTGGTTCGTGAACATCTGCCAGAATTGGACCGGGCACTGATGCCTGTGCACACCAGAACACTTTCAACGCAGAAGCCAAGAAACAGCCCAGTATTTGGGAGTTTCCGAAAATAGGGGACCCCAATATAGTACCCTAAATAATAAGGTACCCCTACTTTTCGGAAACACCCGTTTAAAGCAGAATCACCCACCACATTCCAAGGGCTCTTTGCAACAGCCTTGGGTCCCCGCGGTTTTCACTAAGAGGCTGGTCCCTTGGCCGACCGAACTTGTGCCATGGATCTGTGGTGTTAAAGACAGGGTTCCAGCCATGTACACAGAGGACCATAAGATGAACCTGTACCCGAGAGAGAGACAGCGAGAGAGAGGGAGAGAGAGAGAGAGAGAGAGAGATCTGCAGAAAGCAGAACGTTACAGCAACGGTTGATACTTCAGCCTGTCTTCTGCCTCGGGTGGATCATTTTCTCTTGTGTGCATTGCCTCTCTGCCAAGGAGCTTCGTCTTCCAACATGTAGATGCAAGTAAACAGAGAGGTAGATTTGGCTCATGATATAAATGCATCCTCGCTTTGTGTCTGTATGTGTACATATATCTACATATACACGTATGCACACACATATATACATGTATATATGTATATATACACATGTGTGTATGTATGTATGTATAGGTACAGATATGTATAGAGATATGTATATGCACATTTCTATATATATATATACACACTGAATTATGTAGTATTAGTATACGATTCAGGTCCGCACCGTTTGGCGCATGCTCGACCTGCAAGCCGAGCCTCGGTCCAAACAAGGCAAAAACAACGGGCGGAAAACTGAGTGACACTGTTCCTGTAGGGCTCCATGTTGCTTTGTTTCTCTGTATCCCAAAACCAGGCGGGCGAATGAGCCGAAATTACCACGAAGCGGCAAGCACTTGGGGTCGCTGGGTAGCAGACGGAGCGTATGCTCTCGCAATGCTGATGGTGAAAGCCTTTCAGATCAGTCAGAAGGCTCTGCCGCAGTGACCAAGAGAATGTACGAGGCCATGCTTTCATAGTCGCATTGGCAGCACAACTCCAGAAGTTGAGCAGGACCCCCAAAACCCCGAAAACAGCCCCTTGGCAAGGCCATTCTCACAGTTTCCAGTCATCAGTTCGAGGCCCCAGCGACCGGGCGCTTGATGTAAAGCACCAAGACCTCGTGCCAAATGCAGCTGTAATTAGTGCAGAAGCCTTCGGGCAGCTGCGGGCGCGGCAGTGTCCGCCTTCAGCCGTTCCAGCAGTGCCTGGTGCTATCGAAAACTGCATACCCGAAATCGAAACAGAGCAAACTCCTCGAGTGCACTGGCTTTCCAAATCAGTGTCATGGTAACCGCAGCACAAATGTTGGACTTGACAACGATTGGATGGCACTGATTAAGCCTTGGGCAAAATTTGGGCTCAACTGCTCACCCAAGGCTCGGCCTGAGAACTGCCTCTAGCTCCGTTCACCTCTACGATGCTGTCCCCATGCCTGGGCAGGAGACCGCACAGTTGTACTTTGTGGCGAGTGTCTTGCAGCCAGTCTTGCGGGACAAATGCACGAAGCACTTTTTCGTCGCACAGCATCCGTCCGTTCGTGGGTCATTTTCTGCAGTTTCTATTTTGGGTAATGTCCCTTGTTCGAACAGACATGATACAAATGTCCTGAAAACAAATGCAAAAACGACCCATGTCAAGGACGGGGGGGTGGAGCTGCAGCATAGTACCGGTACCAGTCTCGCATGCGGGCAGGGCTGGCGCCCAGGTACCACGCAATGATGATGCACACGTTCCTCGAGCGGCTCTTGCAGTGACTGCTCATGTGAGCCATTGTAACAGAAGACACGGATGCAGCGAGGCTTCTTTAAGACCAACTTCTGGTGATCGTGTTTTGGGAGTATGCAGGAGGGAATTAAGGCTCCGATGCCGTTGCTCCATGCAGCTGGGCATCAGCAGTTGCTGCTTCAGCGGCCCCATTTCCAGCATTCGTCTCGCTGATGTGGTCACGGCAACCGGAAGGAAGTGGAAAGCTCTCCGGCTGAGCTTTGCCAAGCGCATCGCCTTGTTCGTATGCTTGCTTCAGGAATCTTCAGCATGTGACTGGAACGAAGATGCGCATTGGAAACGTGCACAAACCGCGGCTTTGGAGGGACTTCCGGCCGAAGCAGTAAGCAGCAAGACCCTGTGAACGTTGAGAGGAAGTTCGAACATTGTTCCGAGTCGGACATCTTCCCAACAGTCTACTGCCCTGTCGTGGAAACACGAACCTCAAATCGAGGGCTTTGAAAGGCCCCGCCGAATCCCGCGCATCGCACTTGCCAACACAGACAGAAAGCCTAACCCTAAACCCTCCACCCCAAACAGAAACACGGCAACCTGCGCCCGACGTCTTGGGCACGCGCAAAGTCGACATCCTCCAGAAGCGGCCACTCCCTGCCGTGCGAGAGATGAAGGACCCTACTTGGAGGTTCATGGGTAGTTATAAATTACAAGTATACTTATCTTGCAACCCACTTATAACTACCCACCAACCCCCAAGTATCAGTCCGACCAGATTTGCTAAAGGGGTCCCATGACAGCCCTCATCTAATCATGAATCATGATTAGTACTAGACTGGACTCACACCTGGTTCTCGACATTCGTAGTCACACAAGGTAGGCAGCTCAAAGGCTTTAGGGCTTTACAGCAAGTCCTGCACCTCACAACATCTCTGTCCTGTCATTCGTTTCATCCCTTACACAATTCAGTCGAACAGAACTTATCTCCTCCGACATTGCAGGGCCAGGGCTCATGTCACGGGTTACAAAAGACTTGTTGCGGCACGTGCTTTTTTTGGATGCCCCTTTTCCGATCGTTGCGGCACGTTTGACTTTGGGGCTTCGGCGCTCTATGCTTTCAGTCGGCTTTGAGGTGGTGCATCGGACAAATACCACAACTCATACATGTAACCAGAAGTGCCGATGTGGGTGGGGCTTGAAAGGGCTCGGTCAAGAGATGTCTACAGTAGAGTACAGTCATTCATGGGGCTGAAGACTTCCATCCCTATCCCGTAACTATAAAAGCCACGCACATCAAAGGAAGTGGAGACTTTCAGCCCGGGCCTGTAGCCCGTCAGCTCTTCAAAAGCTTTCCGCCGCACGAAGATGCCCCGATCGCCGAAGACCAGGCGCGGTGTCCGGCAGAAGCCCGTTCTGGTAAACCAACCTCGGCTGTGACCCTCCTGTCGGCAGGGTTGAAAGGAGCGTGTCTGCAATTCCAAATGGGCGGTTGTCAAAATTATGGTCCTTTTTGGGTCCCTATTACAATATGGCACCTAGTATTTAGTGTACCAAAAAGGGACCATAATTTTGAAACCACCCATATGTCTCGGTGCAGTGTCGGAATGCAGAGAAAATGGACATAGCCGAAACTCGTCTCTCACCCTTAGACCGACTTAGACCCTCGAACGATAAGTCGTCTTTGTCTCATGCGGCCTGTGCATGCCTGCATGGATTCAATAGGTTTGGCCCCCTACTTTGCTCAGCCAACAGTGGAAGTCCTGCGCACAACTGCCACATGCTGACGGAGAACTGTTGTAAGTGTCCTCCTGAGGCCTATGGCTCCCAAACACAGCAGTTGAACATTGAACGTCGGCCTCCAATGCTCGCACTCTCGCACGCACACACATACACACACAGTGCAAACAAGCAAGCAAGCGAACACAGGAACACACACACACACACACAAACGGCACATGTACACCGTACGCTGACTCAGACTCGCTTTCAGAGGAGTTTATCCGATCCAGAACCTCGGGCATCTTCAGCCGCGCAGCTCCAAAGTCGCAAGGTTGCGTTCTCCGCCTCCTCGTCAAACCGTAGCTCGAAGCACCCACCCTGGACGTCCGGATCGCACAGCGCTACCTCCCGTAAACGCAGGCACAAGACAGGATCCCGTCGTGAAGATACCAGACATCATCGGCACGGCTTGCACCATCTCACAGTGGTGGGATGGGACAAGAGCAGGGTATTATTAGACACACGCAATATTCCTGTCCGACCTCATTCACCCGAGAAGCCCTGGTGCCTGGAGCTCTGCTAGGGCCCCAGGTGGCAAGTGCGTGTCGGCATGGAGGAAGAGGAGAACGGGTGCCTTCCACATCAGGGCACCGCTTTTTGGGCTCCCATTTTAATCCCTGACGCAGTACTGGCAACTATGTCCAGGGGCGAGGTAGGATAGGGGCACAATGAACACATGCATCAGGTTTACCATTTGGGCTCCCATTGAAGCTTTTGTTTGGTTTCCTGAGCTGTTGGAGCCGGGCAGAGTCGGGCAAAGCAGCTTCAAGCAGGCCACGACATTGTGAGCCGCTGGGCAAGCCAAAGTAAAACATGTTGGTAAAGCCTGGAAAATCCTGGAAACCTACACCTGAGTGCGGGGGGGCAGTCCTATCCTGCAGCGGCTATCCAAGTGCTGCGCTCTAAACCTCACACGACACAGCAGAATTCTGCACCGTTTCTCTGCGGTGCTACGCTCGGACCTGCAAGGCAGGAGTGCGCACAGCCATATCGGCTCCGAGACTTACGTCTCGGGCTAAGGTTCAAACTGAATACCATCACGGAGCGGTGATAGTATCAAATGAGTGGTCCAAGCACAAAGCGACCCGGAAAAGGCACAGGGCCGCTGCTGCCACAGGCCAGGGCGTGCATTGTGAAATTTGCGATGCCTCACAGTCAATCTGCACGACCCGGAACCGTGATCCCGACCCATAGCCGTTGGGCGTTGAGCGCCTGCGCTTGCATTATGCCATGTCGAAGATGGACGCAAGTCTTTCTTCTAGGAACCTTTGGTTCCGGAAAGGGTGAAACGGGCGCGCGGAGCAGCGCAGCGTTGGGCATTCTTAAACCATGCAAAGTTAAGTAAGTACCCAAGTCAAGATACTGTGCACTTCGCTCTAGGCCAAAGAGGATGATCGACTGGGGCCGAAGACCGGTCATAAGATCTTGCCTGTGTCGTCCCGCAGGCCTTTCTTCTTTCTGGCGGCTGCGGCGACCTTTTCCCTGTTTGCCCAGTCCTTGCAGGTAGCTGGATCCACACATGGATTTCCTTCGAGGCACGAGCAGGACTCGTTCTTGAACATACCGTCAACGGCAGCTACGTCCTTCTCACGCAGCACTTCAGCATCGTAAACAGCAGCTGCACCAGCCGCCACATACTTTTTTAAGGACTGGTTGTCGAACCAAGTGAGCTTGGGCCAAAGCTTCTTCACCTTCTTTGCATATCCCGGCTCTGAGGCAACGTCGTTCTCACGCAGGTCGAGCTCCAGAAGGTTCGGGCACTTTGCAGCCAGGGTGTCCAACTCTTCAAGGTCCTCGAGAGCATTGTCATTGAGCTCCAGCGTGCGAAGCTCACTCATTTTCTCCAGATCCTCAAAGCTCGCGATGCCACAGCCCTCCGCCTGCAACTTCCGCAGCCGGGGCAGTTCTGCCAGGGCACTCCAGACACCGAGAATCTCTGACAGCTCCACAAAGCTCAGGTCGAGGACAAGAAGCCTTGGAAAAAGCTCGGCCAGCCCGTCAAGCGAAGTGATGGGATTTGTGCTGATGTTCAGGTACCTGAGCCACAGTGGGCCTCCTAAAGCCTGTGCCGAGGCAAGCTGGTTCTCGGACACATCCGCTGCGACGAGCTGCTTACGATGCCCCTCGCTCAAGCTCAGAATCTCGAGCTCGGTATCTTTGGCGGCCAGATGGCTGGGGGCTGACGGCTCCGAGGAAGCCTCGATTACCTCCCACTCCTCCTCCTTTATCCGCGTGAGAGCTAGGTCATCGCTGACCTCTGCCCAAGGGTCCGGCACGGAAGACAGATCGATCTTCACCGGCGCAGCTGGCGCAGGCTCACACTCCTTGGCTTCGGGCCCTTGCTCAGCCACGGCAGGGGCGACGGATGCAGCGGTTTCGGCCGGGGATTTCGCCTTGGGCTCTGCATTGCTCTGGGCCTCTGCCGCTGCCTCTGTGGGCCCTGAATCCTTCTGTTCCGCACGGACCGCCCGTGCGGCTGCTGCACCTGACCCGGCCGCAGAGGCGCTGCCGCTGCTCTCTTTCGGAATCGCAGAATCCAAACCCTCCGAGGGCGACCGTTCCAGCTCCGAGCCCGAGCGTTCCGGCTCGGCTTTGGCGGCTTTGGGCTTGGCCTTGGCCTTCGCACTCTTCGCCTCCTTGGCCTTCGGCTTCGCCTTCATGGCTACGGCTCGCTTTCCGGCCACGCTTTGCTTCCTCTGCTTCCTCTGCTTTTGGATCTGCTGTGGCCTTTTTGAGGTAACTAGGTGGCCTGCTTTGGGGCAGAGGGCAGCATGGAGACGGTTCCCTTGGGCCTTAAGTCAACTCCACATGCCCTCCCATGGGGGATCGGGAACGGCAGCCCCTCTCAAAATCGTCTCACCTGTCGCAGAATAGCAAGCGCTGGCAACGACCATCAGACCAAGCAAATGCTCGAAATACTCAAGTGGCATGGACAATAACAACAGACTCAACCCTTCAACTCTGCTAAAATGGTCATGTTGTAGGATCTTGTAGGAGTACTGAGTAAATTAGGTGCCGGAAGCCTGCACCGATACCTCCACAAGTACTCAGAGGCCCGAAAAAAGAGACTCCCGGGCGCCTTGGTGCTCTTCGCCCCGGCGTTCATCTGAAGGGACCGGCCACGCGGCGAGGTAAGCACCGAAGCTCCACAGCTCCGTGCCACCTCCTGGGTGCGGTCCTGGCCAGAGCAGACAGTGAAAGACATCTTGAGGACACACCAAGCCAGGTGTAAACTGTAAACATCTGTAAACGATTGAAGGCCTTTAAGTGACTCTCACAGCCTGGACCAACCGGGCAAGGCATCTGAGCAGGACAGACCAAGATGTGACGCAACAACAGGAAACACAGAGAGATTTACACATCATCAAGAAATGCACCCGCGATGGAGTCTCAAAGGGTTCGAAACCCCCGAGACTGACTGCAAACTCCTTGACGACTGGACTGGATTCTGACTCCACACAGCCGTAGCCCCCCTTGAAGCTAATCTCACATTAAAGCGCTCAACCAATTGCCAAGGCAGCTGCAACAGAACTCCGAATCAAGCTACGGCTCCTAAGCCTAAGCCCAGCAACTGGCATCCCGGATAAGTCACGCTCACTGAAGCCCTACTCTCGTCTCCCCGACCATCTCATGCCGAAGGAACAGTCGAGCCAGGATCCACGACCACAACCTCGCTGGGTGGCGGCTCCTGTAAAGACTCTGAGTCTAGGGCTTCGGAAATAGGCAAGATGGGTCAATCTGGGGCAACGATGCCCCAGCAATAATACAGTATCTCCGTCATCGGGCTCATCGGAACCATGGCACAAAGAGAGCACCAGCAGTCCCCAATGACATCGAGAACTGATGCCAGAGATTGGAAGCGCCTATCTATCCAGGGTCGAGCTACTGATCCAACTGCCAAAACTGGCTGCTTACTAAGAAAAAAGTTCTGATGCAGGTGAATGTGCACCGCCTGTAGGTTGCCTTCACTTTCTGCAGAGTTTCACCTGATCCCTGTCAGGGTCCTGAACTGTACCAGGGCATGGAAAGCCCCCAGGCTCCAGACTTTCAAGGAACGCCGCTGAATCCCCGTCTGTCCTGGTTGAAGACTGTTCGCAACGTTGCGGGCAAGGCCTTCTCCTGCAGACTCTGGGCAGTACAGCCAAGTCGCGGTTGCTAGAAGCGGCCAAGCTCCTCATTCATCGCCGGGATGATTACAGCAATGCTCATGGCAGAGGAATCCATGATGTTCGATGTGGCTGAATGCCAGTCAGCTGATGCTGCTACGATGCAGCTACCGAAACCTCAGCAAGACTCGCCTCAAACAGCAAATAACTGAAGATGCCTTCTCCCAACAGCAGCACATAGGACAGAACTAGGCCACTCGGCAATCGCCCAGTACTCAGAAGCTTGCAGGTTAGTGTCTGTGTGCTTGATTGTGCTTGTGCCACCAGATCGAGCCGACACGCCCATCCGCAGAAACCAAGAGCGAACCGATGGCATGTCCGCAGAAAGTTTACAGCAAGACCTTTCCACTCTGAGCACGCTGCTGAAGCATGAGGTCTTCGTCTTCCTGCGCCTCATTATACGCACCTCAGCTTACATGCGCTTTGGATCGACTGTTGCTGATTTTCTGATATGCAGCACCAGAGTCAGGATGACCCTTCAGCCGCTTCTGTCTGCATCTCGTTTCACGATCTGTGTCTGTATTACGGGGCATGGATCCACGGGCACCAACGAGTGATCCGGAAAGTAGCTCGGCAAACCTTCACATTCTGACTTTCGACGGCCTGGAGGAAAAAGGAAGGCTCATCTCTTGCTCTCTCAGCTCTCTAGATTAATGAGTTAAACGGTTAAACACAGTAAAAGTGTGGGGTTGTGCAGCAACTTGGCTTCTGGCGAATGGGGCCTGCCTGGCGAGGACAGCACTGCACGATGGCCGTTCGGGCTGCAGTTCGATACGTGGTAGCCCGCGACTGTAATTAGGCGACAGCAGCTACCGACTGCGGAAGAGACAGAGATGCAAAAGGCTTCTGTGCTTCTGTTGCACAGGATGGCCTTGACGGCGCTAATTATAAGCGACTGCCCGTCCAAAGCGTCCAAGTTGAGGCCCAGTGAAGAGCCGGGCGCCTGCAGGGATAAACAGAGGGACTCGCGCCTCGCTGAGGAAAAGCGAGACTTCACAGAGCTCCCGAAAGTCAGTAGGTTATGAGTACCTGTAGTCTCCATTGTAGTTACTTTGTGTGGTTTAACCAATTATATATCAAGGATCCTATAAGGTAATCCCAAAAAGGAACTACAATGGAGACTATAGGTAGGGTTATAATTGGGTAACTCCATTTCGACGCACACACACACACACACTCGCACAAGGCAGGCATGGCTTCAGGCACTAAGTCCGCAGAGCTTTTTAGAGTACTTATAACTCTACTTAGAACCTACTTACTGAGTCAAAGTCTAAGATACCTCCTGCTCGCCCTCGCCTGTATACAGTGCCGTGGTGTCATTTTCGAGCAATTTCCACCGAGAGCCAGACACGATCTATCTGCACTTCGAATTCTGGATTGCTCCTCGGGGGAATGCTGCACAAAGCATGGACACACAAGATGACGCGGGTTTATTAAGGCTTCGACGTGCCAGCGGCTGTTGTGGCAAGCGATCTTGCTGTCAGAAGGCCGCTGCCAGATGACATGGCCTGGTAAACCGCGGAAGTCTCAGATGTCTTTTGCTGCCCTAGCTGTAATAAACGTGCTTTTCGCGCGAATCCTAGATGCGGGTTGTGAAGCCAAGTCAAGCATCAAGGCTTCAACTGCTTCAACAAGGTGATCTGCTAAACTCCATGGAGCCAACTTCGTGGGCCCTTTCCTTTGTGGGCGCTCAGCTCACCGCCGGAGAGGCACAGGTTTACTCTTTACCACCCGGCCTGGTCGCTCATGCCTGCGTAGCTGTCCTGCAAAGCACACAGGACTTCAAGAGGCTGTGTCTCGCCCCTCTTCAGACTGTTAGTGCACCTGTCTCAAACACTGCAAGGACTAGAGTTTCAAATCTCCAAAGCGAAAGCCCCGTCCCTAGCACTGTACGGGGCAGTGAAGGAGGAGAAGGAGACACCATTCCTCGGACAAGACGGCCGATGGAATCACTGCTTTGATGTTATCGTGACAATAGCAGTGTCTCTGACTCAAAGAACCAAGGCTCTTGGAAGGACTGTTGTCGCGCATGTCCTCCAGGAGGGTCTTTCCCCGGGATCCCTGCAAGAGGTGCCGAATTTTTGCAATGACATGAGATGAACGGATCGGGCAGAGTGGCATCAAGGTGTGCTGTCGTGCGATCTAGAGCATCCCAAAAGTCCATTCACCCTGCGCAGTGAAAGGACACCTTTTCTGGCTCTGACCGTATGGCAGAATCCCCAGCCAGAACCTCGGCAGAGACAAAGTCTGTTTCGAAATTCACTAGCTAAGCTCTGATGATGCACTTGAAGAAGGGAGTCTGCAATTCTGACCTTTCAGCGAAGTAAACTGCTTCTGGTGCGTGTCTACGTGCCTGCCCGAACCTGGTAGTCGAATCAAAACCCGCTTCCCGGTCTGCCGGAATCAGACACCCTAATTAATGTTAGAAGCGTGACTTCCTGCCCGGTGCGAGTATCCCTTTGCAAGGCTTCCACGGGACGCGTTTGTGCCGCCAGTTGCCGTTGTGGACAGCGAAGGCGCATTGCAGACGGCCTTCCACTCTGCGACGGTGAGGCCTACAGCGAGAAATGGTGGCTGTCTAGTTCTGTGACTGACTATCCAGTTTTCTACATCGATACTGAAGTGTTTCATGCTGTGCTAATGAGCTGGTCCCACTGCTGTTGCCATTCCAAGCATGCCCGCTTGCAAAACACCCCAACCCTCCCCTTCTCGGTTTTTTCGGTGATCGAACAATCAAAAACCTCTTATTGAAAGCAGCGACTCCTAATCCGAGCTTGGCCTGGGCTCGGTGTAGGTGGCCAGGGCTCCTCCACGAAGACTTCCTTCCACTTCAAGGCTCTCGGCTCCCTCTTCCCTACTACTCTACGACTGAGCGCCACGAGGGCACTAGCGCAACCAGCATGCTGCATTATCGCAGGTCAAGATTTGCTGAACTTGCAGTTTGCAACTCAGGAACCAGCGGAAAGGGGAAGGTACCAAAATGTCTCAGCCAATGCGCGTGAGGTTTGACAGTACACCGTGCGAAGAAATGGTACTCGAAACTGACCCATACAGTGCCATGCAGAAGATGCCACACTGTCAGCAACCCAAGCATGGTTTGAGCGATTCGTGAAGAAGACAGGAAACTTGGGTATCGCCATCTTCAAGAAACGCGGGACAAGAGCACTTTCGAAACCGAGCTTTGGATTCACAGGCAGAGGCAGATTCGTCCAATGAGGGGCTATGTAGGAGCTCCAGCAAACATTCGGCGCTACGCAGTGGCCCCAACCGATCCTTCCTGAGAGGTCCCGTGCGAGGTTCCAGACTGGAAAAAAACATGAACAGGTTCGGTGGTGCACGCTAGGGGTAGAGTTGGGTGATTGACGGGAGGGTTGGCCAGTCTAGCGGCTCGTCAGTCAGCGGTTAGCTGGCAAGCGCAGGTGTAGACTGTGTAGTGAGAGGACCATACAACACAGAGGCGCTGCTTTCTCCGACAAGCGGCGAGGTTCTCCTGCCGCACCGCAAGGTCTCCGCTGGACGTAGAGACCCGCCAGCGGCCATCATCGCGTTCCTCTGCAAGGAGGGCCTGGCAGGGATTCTTCGATCAAGTATAGGACGCGTCCCGGTCGCATGATATTCTTTCTCTCTCGCACGGCTGAGATCTGTGGTAGAAAAGTTCAATGGTACGGAGCATGATAGCTGGTAGGGGTTTCCAACTCTGCATGAACAAGATGAGCCCAGATTCGCGGGCAGCATGGCTGTGGCTTCCTGGTGACGGTGAGCGAACTTCCCATTGCTCTGACGCTGAGACGGAGCACGAGTAGAATCGGCAGAATCAATCCCGAACCAGATACTTCAGCTGTGCGGAGTACTCCGTTTCGAGCGAGTGGCACCTGTTACGCCGTTGTGCTCCCGTTGCTGAAAAGCTCCAAGTTGATTGGTTCGATTTCTTTCGGGCGATGTGCTCATTCTTCTCAATTGCGCTGTTCCTTTCCGATCGGCTTCCTGTTTTTGTTGAAATGCTCTAGTCACTGTCAGCCAGACTGACCCCCGCAACGGAGAACAGACTGGGAGGCCTCGGAGCCGTTGAGGTCGGACCTTTTGGTCAGCCTCTGCTGCCAAGACCGGTGGCAAAATTGCACAGCGAAGCCCCAAAGCCCAAATTAGCCAAAGCCCAACAAAGGCTGACAAGCGCAGAAATCCTAAAAATTACCTTCCACAGACTCTTTCTCACAAGAGAGTTTCTCTCATTCTGGCCCTGCGGCCCGCAGATTCGAGCCCAACGCCCTGGCACAGGGTCAGCTCCCACAGCAGCAGGCGGACGCAGCTGTGACGCGAAAGGGTTCGCCTGGGCGTTACGGCCATACTGCGACTGGAATGCTGTAGCCGTTTTGCACACGACCCACCCGCAATGAAGTGCCCAGTATCACCATCTCGACCCTTAGGCCTGTCTGGAGTCAAGTCGCACCGACGAAAGCGAGTCTGAGATGCAGCGCCCCTTCTGAGAGCCTCGGCTGATGCCGCTGTTCTATGCTGTTCTTTGGTCCTTCCGTCAGTAAAAAGACATGTGTTTGAAACAACTGTTACATTACCTATATATATATATATATATATATGTATATATATATATATGTATATATATATATAACTATACATCTATATAACTATACATCTGCGACACGCTCCTTCGGAAAAGGTGCTGCCAACACATGGCAGGGTGCGAGTTCCAAAGTTCCGCGAGAGTTGCCAGTGAGCGAGCAGTTGCCAGGACCGGATGACCAGCCACGAGCTCTGTGCGCAGGGCCTCCGGTGGCACAAAGTTTTCTTTTGTCGCCGATAGTAAGAGCGGCGCCTGCAGCAGATCCAGTGTCACAGCCACTTCAGCAGCCAGCACCAGAGCTTCACCTGGCTGGATACCCTTCTCGCATGGAACCGCAGAGGTCGGCTCCGACACAACTCTGCGTTTTTCTCTGGGGTGGCATGATTCGTTGCAAATCGACTCCTCGTGACCTGTGTCCTGCACAACACCGGACAACATAAGCGACTGTTTTCACATCCTCGAAAACATGTCTTCTGAATCTGAGGGACTTCTCAGGCAGCCGAGATCAATTGTGCTCGCCCTCCGGGGCCGTTTTTGCATCTCTCTCGTTCTCTCACGCCTTCTGCAAAGCGACCGTGGTTGACTGAGAGTGTTGGCTAGATGTTTGTACACTTCGCACTGGAGTTGTGTGACTGCGTAGCCTGAGCCTGCAGATTCGGCGGTGTCCATCGATTCGACGTTGATGTCGCGAAATGCAGCTCGAGGCAGCTGCTGCCTGCAAGTTAGGTTGAGACGCGGGACGCACCCTCACGCGTGCATGCATACGTACACCATGCACCCATTCATGCATGCATGTGTCGTGTCACTACCTACGACGTACGACGTGAATATGCACATACAAGCTCGTGCTCGCACACTCTCTTGCTGGCAGCTGCCCGGGAGTGCCTTTGTCAAACAGTGTTGGCCCAAAACTCGGCGGGGCCTCAACTCTGCACCGGTGAACGGTACGGACGCCGCAGCTTGCAGCTGGTGTATCCGAGAGCCTGGTGCTGCATCCAACCTCGGCTCAAGCAAACTCCTAAAAATGCCCCGGAAGGCGGTCTCGGGTTGAAACCCAGCAGATCTTCAAAGCAGGCGGCAAATCTCTCCACCAAGCACTGGGGGCCCAGTTCAGCTGCGACCACGGGCCAAACACCAGGCGTAAAGACAAAGGCGGAAGCTGAACGGGAGGCCCTGCGCCAGGGGAGCTGAGAGCTTAGCAGATGCTTTGATTTTGGTCATATTGAATCTTTTGCCTCCCAGACTACTAGGACTATTCCCGCGACGCTTATACTGACATACTGATTCTGATTCTGACGATTTGTGGGTTCGACCCTTCCTTGTTGACATGTGTTTTCACTGCAAGATTTATGCCTACGTCAGGGTTCCGTGAGAATGATGCCAGCACAATGCCATCCAGGACTTGTTGTCAGAACAAGTGCACGACAAACCCGGTACGGTAGTGCTGCGGCTGCCGCTGATACCTTTCCTGTTGCGATGGCTGGCATAGAAAACCACCTCACTGAACCCTAAACTCTAAACCCCAAGCCGCAAATCGCCTTCCGGTGGTGTGGTCGACCAGAGCGCCGGCAAAGGACGGGCGAAGCCAAAGAGGAAGGCAGCGCGAAGCACCGTCCAGCTCCAAGTGAGGCCTAGCAACAACGACTATGCCGGTGTAGATCCCCAAACGGTGAAAAAGCACTATGACCACGACCACGAGGACCACCACGACGACCACTACAACCAGGAGACCACCAGGAGACTACTGGCAAATCCCTTCCCCCAAATATGGGTTACGGGTATATTCTACTGTAATCTAATCTACCATGTAATACTTATTTCGACCCCATATTATGTTCTGCATTACTGGAGGAATCAGGACCGGACCACAGACAGGACTGCGGGGTCGAAATGCCATCCCACGAGCACAAGCGCAATTCGGGACCAGCCGGCTTGCCCCCAAGTGCTGCCCCGATTAAGGTTTCCTATTTCATTTTCGAAAGGCAGAAAGTGCTCCATGCATTTTAACTTACCATGAATCGTGCCCGCCGGTGTACACGACCGCACAGATCCTAAGGAAAAGTCCACGAGCGCAGAGTATGCACCACGCAGCGGGTGCGCCACACGGATCCTAGGCAAACGATGGGATGCGTGGACAAAAATTGCACCGCACCATAGCAGGGGCGACGTTTTGGGCTTTCCTTTGCACTGCACCTATAAACCTCATAGCAACACTACAATAGTCTGATAGTACTATAATCAGGGCTTTCGGAAGTTGAAATGCCCGGAGCAGCAGCGGTTGAAAAGCCACACTGTCTGTTCTCCGAATCGGCGGCTCTGTGTTCCCCGACTATGGGACACTGCAGTCAAAAGCGCATGATACCCCAGCCCTGTGCAGCTTCTTCATTGAAGCTGCCCCTCCGCAGACAAGCTCACAAGTGACTCAGAAGCCTTCCATGTCTTCGGCAAAGACCCTTGAAGCGCAGCAGCAGAGCCTTCAGATGCCAGCTCAAAGAAGCGCCGTTCTTTGTAGAGCTTGTGCTGCATCTCCTGACCGCATCGGAGTCTTCCGGCCTTGTTGGACCCTTCTGGGCTGCGGTGCCACCGAGCCGCCGTCCGAAGCTCGAAACCGCCACCAGATCCCGCCCGCTGTGCGAAGAGCCGCCGCCAGCCTGAAAGTAGCTCCAAAGATAGCAGTCACAGGGTCTGTTCTGCAGTGCTGGGCAGGACATTCTCCGGGGTGCACTACCGAATCTATACCTGGAAGTTTAGGAAAGACGTGCCACGTCGTCATGATGATGCACAATGGCGCCGCATTCCTTGAAGGGCCCCGAGCTCCTGTTAGCCCGAGAACAAGTCTCGCATCATGATGAGCTGTTAGCTTCATTTTTCACAGGGCCATGAGCTCCTCAAGACCGGTGAACCGCGAGCTGTGGTACTGGAACCGAGCAAACATAAATAGCCTGATAGGTGTCACGCTCCTACACATGGCCCAGCTTGCAGGCAAGAAGACCCTCCGGCCTCGCACCACGTAAGCCCAAACAGGTTCCACTGGTGGCCAGAGCAGCGCAGAAGCGGCCGCCACACGGAGATGCCTGGAAGCTCCCCATCACGAACCGAAGTGGAAAACTCGGAGGAGACCGGCAGCGGATGCTTCGCCACTAAGTCAGTAAGTCAGCAACCAAGCAGAATGAGGAGGGAGCAAATCGAGTGCATGTTCTGTCACGTGCAAGTGCCAACCCCGGTGGAGTGATTCCGGCTTTGTGGTCAGACCCGAGGATCGCCTAAGAATCCTGTAGCTGTCTCTCCAAAAACTGTACGTCTCAGTGTTGACAAAGAAGCATGCCAACAACAGCAACAGTTACAGCGTGACCATCATTAGAGCACAATGCCCAAACTTGTTCTAAATACAGAACCACCATCAAGAAATGGGTTGCAGCATGCCGGAGTACTCCCTCTAAACCCTTATAAACCGGTTCAGGCATATTGCACCCTAAACCGCAAACCCTCAAAACCCTTTTGCATCCAGGCCTCTTACGCTTTTTGCATCCAGGCCTCTATAAGAGGCCTGAACCCCTAAACTCTACATCCTAAAAAATGTAGTTTATAACAATTAAGATATTAGAACCAATGATGAATTATATAATTATATAGGTAACTTCAAGAGGTGCCTTTGGTCCTTCGAAGCTCCGCTCTCCGGGCCGAGCAGTACTCGAGCCGCCTACCAGCATGGGGGGGGGGGGGGGGGGGGCCCGAGGATACGTTTCAGCACGTTTAATAACCAGAATGGAAACAAGAATACTAGGAGTGAGAACCGAAATACAAGCATGAGTTCTTGTAGGGAAAATGATAGTACTAATTGCAATAACACCACTAATACCAATGAGAAGAAGAAAGTAAGAGTAGCAAAATTGCATGGCAGCAGCGATCATAGTGCTAGTGCTGACACTGATGATAGCAGAATGAAACAGGAACAGCAACAATAATCATAATAAGTATCCGAGTAAGTAACCATCAAGGGTATCAGAACAATACTGTAGTTAACAATATGACCAAGGATGGTACTCGAATGTAATAGGTGAAGTAGCAGTACAGTGCTGAAGGCAAGAGTGCGAAGAGAAACAGCAATTAAGAATCGAAACAGTGATAGCAGTGATAGAAATGACACAAGACAAGTATCATCATGAACTACTTTTTTGCGTGTTTCTCTGCGCGTAACGTGGTCTCAAACTATCAGAGATGCGTTTGACCAGATGCCGTTGTGCACAGCTCAAGCCCGGCGCCTGGACCTGCAAGGAGTGGTCGCGGAAGCTCCTGGGTTCTTGTTAGGGAGCTTGATTTAAGGTACCATAATAGGGATTCATAGTAAAGAGTATGGTTTTTTAATATGATGGTACCTTAGACTATTGAATCCGTTAACAAGAACCCAGGCTCGCATGTGGACTGACTGGTGCAAGCTGTCTGCCGAGCTCAAGATCCTGGCAGCAACAGACATCGATATCGAACACACACACACACACACACACACACACCCACACCCACACCCACACGCACACGCACACACACACACACACACACACGTGCGCATAAGCACAAAACACACACACACACACACACGTGCGCATAAGCACAGAACACACACACACACAGACAGACACGCACATGTTATGTACGTAAACAATGTGTACTACACTTGGTGATGACTTCAACACGAATGCAAACACAACTGCAGACTTTGTCCAAAAGGCAGCGGCCAACCCGTGAAGCCTCACTGCTTCTAACTAACCTTCGGGAAGCAAGAGGATTCGAAAGCCACGTCTCCTCCCCAGAGTTTTGCGACGGCCACTTCCCGTCCGAGGAGACGAGAGGAGGCCACACGGCCCAGAGGCGGTGCTTCCCCACCTTGCGTGTGAGCGCCACGATTTGGGAGAGCGCAGTGAATCTTGCAGCGCCCAGGCACTTCCTCCACCGAGTGATATTACACAACATCATACAACATCGACATCGATCTAATGTAAGGTATGGTGGAAATATGTTCAAGTACATAATAAAGCAGCATAGTCATAGTATAACAAAGGATAACATAGCATACTACAGTACGATACCCAGGATACGCGAAAATACAATAGAATGCATTCTCTCTCTGCCGTGCCATCATAGAGTGCATTGCAACATAACCAACATAGTCTGATGATACACTATGATATAGTATGAGCCACCATAATACTGTCAGGTAATGTAATGTGGTATAGTGTGGTATACACCGTATCTTATAGCAAAGTACATCATAACACAAAATATGATATAAGACCATGCTATTCTGTGATATCAGCCAAGCATGATACAAAGGAATAGAATAAGACACAACAGGATGCAATGTCACATCATGCACTGTTTTCTATACGTTTAACATGTTATAAGATGTTACAATGTTACACCATGTTACGGTAACATGTCTCTCACAGGGCTAAGGGACCGGCGAAGCTGGTGAAGCGATTGTCGCCTTGAAGCTCAGCTTGGAGCACGTCGTCGAAGGACTCCCACATGAACTTCATGGAAGCCTCTACTAAGTTTGGGGGTGGGGTTCCTTATTATCGTTGTAGTGTGATGGGGCCTGTACATCCCTAAACCTTATTATGAATGTAGTGAAATGGGCACCAAAACCCATGCTCCCTGGAACAAGCTCGGAACATCAAGCTTGCGGAGGGGGGTCAGGACAGAGTGCCTCCATCTTCTGGCACCCGCGGCGGCTGACCAGATAGCCCCACACTCCACAGCAACCCGTGGAAAGCAGATCTTCGCCCGTCATTGCCCGGGATCCGATAGAATAGAGGAAGTATGTGCTCTCGTGACGTAAGGTGGGCTTGTAACCATAGAGTTCTGCCATGTACTCCTCCTCGCTCGACCTGCTTGTGCTCGTCGGGTGTCTCAGCTGCATGACTTTGCGGCGCTGTGCGTACTGCAAGCTTCGGAGGCGCCAATCTAAAGGACCCAAGATGACGACATCCAGAAGATCACCAGCGGAATCCAGAATATCTCGCAAGACACCGTTGAAGTGAGGACTCAGAACCTGGTCATCCTCAAGCACGACCACGAAGGGGGATCCTTCCTCAAAGCCCTGGCGCAAAGCCCGCATGTGTGATAACCAAGATCCGGCGTAGCCCACGTAGTGCCTTTCTTGGTCAGCAGTCAACGCCACACCAATGGCGGGTCGAGCCTCGTCCCAGCGCAAAGCGAAGCTCGTCAAGTCTCTGGTGTAGGGCTCGCATTGGCTGCGTCGCACCACGCGATGCCGGCCATCCGTCGCCGCAAAGCGCCGTGCGCAAAGAACGCCGCAGCGCTGCACCCCTCGGCGCATCTCCTCGAGCCTGCGGGCAAACTCAGGACAAAGATCAACGCCACGCGACAACGTGCCGTGCCGCGCCGTGCCTGTGTGGGCTGCGATCCAGATTCACGACGAAAACGGGAATGTCCCGCCCAGACTTTGCCAAAGAACTTGGCTTTGAAAGGCCGGTCTCGTCCCGGAAAGGTAACTCGTCCGTCACTTTGTGGTAGAGCCGCTCTGCAGCAGCGCGGAACTGCTTGAGCAATCCCTCCTTACTGGGATCATGTAGCAGAGAACAGGAAATGCTCTTAACTTCCTGAACACCTCCGCCGAATAGTTTAATTTACCGAGTTGCTAGGGGCCTTCTGGCGTGAGCTGCGGCCAAAGACATCCGCGCCAATGCTCGGGGCGAAGGCCCCAAGCCTGGGTCAAGTGCCCATTTGACTCCTCTCAGCTCACCCTAACTTCTTCGTACGTCGTTGCCACGTTAGGCGTCAGTGAATTACGAACTATACAACTCTGCGACTTAGGACAGGGCTTCGAGCACGCTAGAATCTCTGGCCTGCAGGAAGGTCTTCCATGCCTCGGAGACACGGATCCTTCGGCACCTCCTGCAGGCAATGATTCGAGCGACTGCTCAAGGACATACGTGTAGGGACACTGTACAAGCATAGCAGGCATCCTCTGCCCGCCCACAGTTCCGGCGACACTCATCACAGAATTCACCTCGCATGAGACAGCACGAGACGTGGCTGACGAGTTAAAGATTGGGGAGGGTCTGCCTTCCTGCAGACAATACCACATGCCAAGACACGAGATGCATCGTCGGCTGACTTCCAGAGCCGGGGCGCAAGCCGCCAGCACGCGAAGCAGCAGCGCCGAGGCCTTGCACCCCCGTCCAGGACCCCGAAGTCCTCTTCCCGGGCATCCACGGAATCGCCCTGCAGCCAAACGCGCCAGCGGCCCGTAACCAGGCAGAACTCCCCAAGTAGACCAACGCTGCCACACGGCAACGACCCCAGCGCTCTCCGCAAAACGACGGCAGATCCGGGGCTTGGGATCGGAGGACCTGCGTGGCCTTGGAGACGACGACCGGCTTCCGTCAGAAATGCATCCATGAGGTCCTGCTGCTCTGCCGGTGCCCAGGACAACGAAACAACCAAGTCAGCCAGATCTTCCATGGACAGCCAGTCGAGACGTGATGTTGCCTCGCGGTTCAAAGAGAGGAGGGCCTGGCGGAGTTCGCGGCCCCCCTTCTTCGTCGTCTGCAGCAAATCCGCCAGTGCCAGGGCTACTCGGGGAAGCGACCTGGTGGGAAGCTGCTGGGGAACCTCCCTCAAGTGCCTGGCGAAGTGGTCGGCGAGTTCCAGCAGCCGCTGGGCACCGAGGATCTTCTGAACGCAAGGCTGCGCCAGCCCACACAGGAGCCCTGCGAGCGCGTCGGGCGATCTGACGTTGTCCGGAACGTCCTGTAAGGACTCCAAGGCGGAGAGGAGCTCCTCGTTCAGAGCCTTGGCGGTCAAAAACATCCAGAACAGCTCCACAGCCGCCACTATTTCGCCCCTGGCAGCCCTCGTACGGACCATGGCCGCCGCCTCTGCGCAGCGCTGGTCCAGAGCTTCGTCGCCGTGCGCGAGGCCGATAAGCTGCAGCTCTGAGGCCAGAGAAACCCAGTCAGAGCTGTGACAAGGCTGGGCATCCTTGGCTAAGCTCCGCAGAAGCAGCCGAAGCAGGTTCTTGAAGTCGAAGGGCGTCTGCAGCAGCACTTGAGCGATGGCAATCATCGTCCTGGCGTGCAGCCAGGCTGCGCATTCCCCTGCCAGATCGCAAAGGCTTCTCAGATTCTGCGGCACTTCATTTGCATCTGCTGCCCCAGCAAAGGCCACAGCAACGGAGCTTGTCAAAGGCTGCGCCGATGACGCAGCTGCTTCAAGCGTCCACTCCGGCCAGAGGCTTCCCCAGGGCCCTTCTTTGGGGCCTTCTTTGTGGTTCCCTCCCTGGTCTCCAGTCGGCATCCGAATCTGAAGGTGAAGTCCCAAGACTGCCGGAAACGGTTGACGAACCAGCTGGACGTACGATTCGGAGCCTCATAAAGGGCAGCGGGTGGCGGGCCGCAGGCCCATGGCATCGTCTACGTGCAGCTTCGGCGCTCTGCTCAATGTCACGTCGGATTACGAGCTCGGGGACCAAATGCCACCCTTTCCAACTCACCCTTTTGGATCTTTAAGGCGTTAAGGTGTATTTCAAGGGGCCTCTACGTCTGGCTTGCCGTCGAGAAACATTCACGACTACACAGCGATGCTGGCAAATATTGTCTTGCATCGATGTCCATGTTCCGACGTGCAAAACCAGCAAAGGCTCCCATGCAAACCAGCTTCTTGCATCCCAACAGTTACAGCCACTGGCTGCAGCACGTCATGCATCAAAAATGACAAGACACATGTGTCCAAGCCGGCTCACTCACGGAATCCCCATGCTACACGTGCTTGTGCAGCGATTCAGTGATTCAGGCTTGCTTCTCGCCTGCCCGGGGAGGTCCTGTCATCAGCAGTAGTCGCAAGGCTTGTGCACAGTAGCAAGGGCCAACATTCCTATCAGCAGGCCTTCCCAAGCACCGCGGCATGCGTAATTGCATCCTCGGCTGCTGGGCAAACCGTTGCAGCCGAGCTTATGACCAGAATGCGTCGGAGAGCTGGTAAGGCCACAAGCCAAAGCTATGTTCGCCGTCTTAGTTTCATGCCGGGCTGCATCTGCAAGGTTCAAAGCATCGTCTGCGCGCTTGTTTGGAGGTGCCTGTTGGCCGAAAAAGGTTGGTGGGGGGGGGGGATGTGGACGAATGCGAACAAAGAATGTGAGGCAACAGGGCCCAGGGGCTTGGCAAAGAGAAATTGTGCTGCCGCCTTTGCTCACGAGTGACAGCCTTCTGTCTCCAGCCGGCCAGCCAAGGTGGGAGTGGCTTACTGTGCTGTCTTTGGCACTTTATACGAGTGAAGAGTCTCGCTCCAAAGCGTACTCCGATGAACAGGAACGTGGTCAACCCGCAACCGCGACGCCTATAACCCAAGACCGTCAACGGCCCAAACACAAAACAATCGCGAAACCAGCTTGAAGGAAGTTACATACGGCTACACTGGTCGTCGATTGTCGTATAAAGCCTAAACCTCCAGAACGAGCTTTGCCCACACAACCATTCATCGACTACAGAATTCTCAAGAACAGTGACGGCACGCTGTAGAGGCCCGGGCCGCATGTCCGTCTAAAGGACCTGGTGGTTCCTGCAATCGCGTTCCACGGAAGAAAGCTTTCAAACGGCCCTGCAGCATCACTTCCTCGCCTCAGGCGGCTTGTCCGGATCAAGCTCTCCGCGATCCTTACCTGACGCATCGAACGCCTAAGACCTTCTCAGAGGCCGTCTTCTGAGGAGACTTGAGTGCGCAAAGCTGGCGATACGCCAGTAAGTACTTGTCTTGTCACGCTTGACTTTCCCAGAGTGACTATGCCAATGTTGAAAAAACGCAGCAACTTTCAACGAGTCAGCCAGCCAGCTTGAAGTAATTAACACAAAAAATCTGGGGAGCTGATGCTGAGAGATGTTTAGCTTGGGCTGGTGCCATTGACCTGCTCACCTGCTCCACAGCAGCATGCCCTCAGCGCAGGTTGTGTGCTGACTCAAAATGCTCGGCTTCACCTCCGGACGGCTTATCTGCATCTGAGCTGTGCACGTGCAGAACATTTGCCTGCTGCACTCTTGGCGGTCTCGTGCCTGCACACTGAGCAGAGAGGGAAAGACCAGCATCCCTGGAGCCCAGAAGCCGAGATCCAGGCCTCCAAGGTGCCGTGCACCAAGGAGCGTTTTGCCCCCACTCGACTCCCGGCGCGAGAGGGCTCCGGAAGCCAAGGCTTTGAGAAATCGCAGAAGACAAGCAAGTCAGGGCAAGTCCAGAGCATGAGAAGGAACTTGAGGAACAAACACTCTAAATCCCAAAATCCTAAACCCCTTGAAACATTGAAGTAGGAAGCACGTACAGTAGGCTGAATCCTATAGTCCTAGACCGAGTGAAAGTTCCAAGGCATGTCACTGGTGGCCAGGGTTGCACTGACGAGGTTTTCTTCGCGAGTAACATGCCAAGTCGTTTGGCGGTGGTCCGTTCGCTTTGGACACGGCAGCCTCGACAGTGTCACAGGTGAGTTTGCATTGGGTGGCAGCCCCTGTGCGAAGGCCATAGCAGCTGCAAACGAACTCGCTTCCATCGTTTTGAAGCTACGCAACTACAGTGTGCACTCCCAGTGTCCAACCCCAATTCCTGCCAGCAAGACGGTCACGATGCCTGAATCGGAACGGAAGAGACCTTCCATTCAGCTCCTGCAGTGCACACGACGAGCAAGGTGCGACAAGCTGTCTGGATGTCACCTCTTGGCAGTATCATTAAAGCACGAAGGAGCAATCAACACGCAGCACTGCACCCACACGGAGCCGCGTATTCAGCGTTAACTTCATCCAACTTCTGCTCGAGCCTGATGGTCTGGCCGATGATCGGGCAGAGCCGTTGACAGGGGCCCTTGCTGTTCAGCTGCTGCTACGCTGCTACGGGTAGGGCTCCAACAGATTCTGCAAACTTTCGCCGTGCCTGTGCGGCCTCTTGGCCGTGGGCGGTGGCGGCGGCGGGGGCAGCGCCTCCTGCGCCGCAGCAAGGCTCATCACTCTCCGCACTCACCTCTCACTCTTAAACCGGTCTCTTGGAACTCGAAGCAAATCCGACTGCGCCTCCTCGGCCGCTACTGGCGAGTACCAGTACTTCTCGGCATCAGAGCCTGCAGCCAGCGGCATCAGAGGCGCGAGTCTCAGCTCCTACGGAGCCCAGCAAAGCCGAGTTCCCTGCCGCAAGAATCTGCTGCGTAGTCGGACTCCGGCCCCTGGCGGCATGGCAGAGAAGTCCAGCAAAAAAGCTGTGTTTTCACTCGACCGAAGTTGCAGGCCTTTGAAACCCCCCTCCTTGCTGAAGGACCTCTTGCTCCCCTCCCAGCCTGTCGAAGAGGCTCGTACCAATCCAATTCACCTGCCGTCACCAGAAGTTTCCCAGGCGCGGAGCACTGACTGCCCTCTCGTGGCAAGCTTGAGGATCCGACTCTCCGGCCTTGGTGCCAAGTTCAACACGTGCAACTACTGTACCCAGTGGTCGTTTTTGAGGCTCATGCTACACTCGGAAGGGAAGCACACTGCAGTCTTTTCGACGGCGCCACACCATGAGGTCTTGCGGATGCTCTTGCAAAGCCTGCGCATCCTTTCAATCCATGTCCTCGAGGTCCTGAGAGACTTGGAGATGTTGTGGTGGCTCCTGGCATGCTCATAAACATCCCACAGTACCTCTTTGCTCTGAGGAAACATCGATGAGATCGGCCCAAATTTTAAATCCGACTCACCGATCCTCCAAATCCGGTCCCGCAATCTCCTCCATCTCCAAGCCCTTCTCGGCACGAGCTGCCACCTGCTCAATCGCACGGCCTCGACGTGTGACGAAATGTGGCTACGTTTTGCTTGCTTTTTCTCGCGCTCGCTCGCTCGCTCTCTCTCTCTCTCTCTCTCTCTCTCTCTCCCCTGCTTGCTTGCTTGCTTGCTTGCGAAGGGTACTGCATGGATTCTCGAAAGAATTCTGGCCCGAAAACCTACCCCTCAATCTTCTTCCCCGGGCATGAGGGGTGTCTGAAGCCCCTCGGCCTTCAAGGCCCCCCCGATGCTCGCGGGCTTTTGGAGGAGCGTGAAAAGGCTTTCTGAGCGTTTTCCCCCTGATTTCAATCGTTTCAGGTATACGCCTCAATCTCTCTCCCTCGCTCTCTCCTGGGCTTGTGACCGGTCAAAGTCAAAGCCCACCCAATACATTGTTTGGGATTCGAGGACTGAGAAACGAGCATAGCGCATCCAGTGGGCTAAAGCCACAAAGTATACGATAACAAGAGGAAGGAAGCACTTATACTATCAGTGACGTGTACTCCCCCCCGTGTGCGTTCCTTAGTCAATAGACCCTCAATCTCTTTTCTTTCTTTCGCCAGGGCTACGCGGCTATGGGTTGCTTGCTTGCGTTCTTTCTTTCTGCCCAGCCAGTCTCTCCCTCTCTCTCTCTCTCTCTCTCTCTCTTGCTTGCGCTCACGATGTTCGGGCAAGCCACCATATCATTTTCAAAAAAAAATCGTCTTGCAACCCTGAGCTTGCGCCCATGCAGCAACTAAACTCAGCCACTCCACGCCACTCTGTAGATAGCTGCTCCAGCCGCGCAGCCGCTAGGCGCCCCCAGGCACCCGGGCCGTAAGCACCGGCAGCCACTCTCAGGCTCTCCTCTAAGCCGCAGGGGTGTTCTACAGGATGGCCCACTACTTTGCAAGCATGAACCACGGGCCAAGAGCTGTGCAACTGTCCCAACCTCAACTTTACAACCCAGTACCCGAATTTGAGTACTGGCTGGAACCCATCTGCAGAAGAAACTAATTCTTCGAGCGGGGCCCTCCTCCAGAAGTTCTCGCCAGAGCTTAGAGCCGCTTGCGACGGCTGCCAGCGCTGCCTCTGCCGCTGCTGCGGCGTGGCTTGGGGACCTCTGGGAAAGTGCTGCGGGTTGCTACGACCGTCTGAGGGACTACTATAAGGGGAGCTTAAGGGACTATCATAGGGATCCATTCCCCCCATTCCCTGCTAAGCACCAGACAGACGACCGCAAAGGGCTGTTGATGCGACACCGACCGAAAGGGTGCAATTAGCTGCTTTCGAAAGCAGGCAAACTTACTTCCTACTTCTTCTGTTGACATCTGTTGCAAAGACCTGCAAGCTGCTTGTGAACAGCTATTGTCGCGGGCTTGATGGCACTCTAGTGGTTCTGCGGGACTCAGTCGCAGATATTGAGGACTCCGCTAAGACGCTAAGACTCCGAAGCCCCCATGGCTTTGCAGACGGTGCTTCTGCATGCAAGTGACAATGGCAGCAGCTCCGCACTGACCCGGCGAACTGCCTGAGATTGCCGCATAAATAATGCCACGAATTCTCTCTGCAGTTCCTACTGCAGATTCCTGAAGCCCAAACTCGAGCGCAGCTTCCAGAGACAGCTTCCGTGGGCCACACAACATGCATCGCGCAGCCGGGTGTCCAGCCACAAGTCCAAAGCCTCGGCGTGCCGCGCAGCCTCCTGTCATCTTAACTGTTCCACCGGAACCTCCATCGAATCAGCTCATGTACGCCGCACCCTGTCCTGCAAACCGAAAGCCAGCTCCCATGCAGGCGCGACCCAGTAGGAGCCCAAAAGGAGATTCAGCAAAGCCTTGGAAAGAGTAACAGAGCCCAATCAACGCACACCAGGGGTCCTTTCGGCTTGCTCCCAGCTTTTCTTAAGTCTTGCTGCTCCACAGGGTTTTGGGGCCCATAATACTACTTGAATGTTTGGGGTGTTGCTTAATGGTTGCATGGCTTACTAAACCACATGTATCCCATATCTAATGTGCATATAACACATACTTAAGTGCTAACAAAAAACGTATCCCCCTCAGGGGTTCTAGCAAAGTCGCTAATTATGTTTAAATTTTCAATAATTGCAACTCTGACTATCTATTTACATAAACGGTTATTGTAATTTTCCTAACCCCTTTAACTTGGAAAACCTATATCGGAAAACACTATCTTGCTGCTTTGTTTTTGTTGTTTTGTGGTTTCAGGAATTGCAATTATTTCCTTGCTGTTCCCTTTTTTTCCTGTGTGAACTGATAGATTTGTGGGGTCACGGTTGCATATTGTGCGGTTGCATTAGCCGACATCTGGCTGCATGTTGCATGACATGGTATGTTTCGGTTGCTTGCATCTTTGCTTTGTAGCCTGTGGGCTGCATGGTTGGCATGATACATGCGGGCCATTTGGGCTGCATGGTTGCTTGATTGTTCTTTAGCCTACATGGGCTACATGAGATTGATATTCGAGCCCATGCGGGCTGCACGACTTGCATATACATGAGAGCCATGTTGGCTGCATGATTGCTTGATTGTTCTTTTAGCTTGCAAGGCTATACATAAGATTGATGTTCGAGCCCATGTGGGCTGCATGTCTTGCATCTGCATGAGAGCTATGTTGGCTGCATGCATGGAGTCCACGGGCTGCATGCATATATGATGTGCTGCTTAGATATGAATGGTGCATGCAGTGTTTGGTTGGAAAGCAGTTCAGATAGCAAGCCGTATATACACTTGCGGCCTACCATGGCATTGACCCCGGCAGTCATTGCAGAAGCTGACCGTATCATGGCATCGGATGCGGCAGTGAACCTCAAGGTGTTGGAGCTTAATGATTTGTGGCTGAGCAACGGGCTCGCCTCCAAGCAAGTCCATGGACCAGAGAGGTTTTGCATACATCCCCAAAATCGGGGAGGTGCCATGATGAATAGCTTTGATATGGTGACAAAGGGGAGACGATGATGAGCCAAGGCCTGCGGATTGATTTGCTCGAAACAAGTGCAGTAGCATTCTGCATGTCCAGCAATGCAGTGAAACGTGACAAGCAACTTGCAGCAAATCGGAAATGCTGTTCCCAAGCCAAAGGGGTGATGCCCGAAGTGGTTGGCGACGAATTGTTTCTCACGGTTGGCTCATCTCACTCCACGTGCTATTTGAAATCCATGAAGCAGGGCCTTGTGAAGAATGCTTCTTCGTTCATGAAAAAGGGTCAGCCCGTCGAAAGGTGCCTGAGCCAAGGATGGACTTGGCTGATTCTTGCTGATACCTTGGAAGACCAATTCCCGAGTCTCCCGTTGCTGTACTCGTCTGTGCTCAATAGCAACAACTCGGTGTGTGTGGCTTCGACAGAGATCGAGTGCCTTGCCACGATCAGCAATTGCTTGAAGTTGGGCAAGACGGTTGCAGAAGCCACTGCAGCGACGATGCAAGGGGAACCGGCTTGCAAAGAGTACTTGGAGACGGTGGCATTCTTTGCTCAGAAGTACACGGGGGGCGACGAGATGCCTTTGGTTGATTTCCTTGTGTCCTTTAGTTGCTTGTCTTGCCATATATAGTTTATATGACTTTTCGATACATGCAGATTGCATGCATGCATATAGGTTTGCACAGCATGGAACTTGCGAGGCAAGCTTTACGGCCAGAGCATTCGCCTCGGACAAGAGTTCACTCAGTTGATCACATATTTTGACTTTAAGCTTGAGGCCAACCTGGCCCCATGCTTCAGAGTGGCTTGCATGGCTGCACAGGTGGCCTCACCCAAAGTCCAAGACCAGTTTGCGAAGCTACTGGTCAAAGCTGATTTGGACCGCATCAAATCCAAATCAAAACCCGAGCTTCTTGAAGCAGAGAGGCTTCTGAAGGATGCATGGGTTGCCACACAGAATGCACCCTTGAAGGATGGTGAGCGATACACCGTTTTCGGGCGCTGTTGTGTGCGAACAGTGCTATACCTCAGCCAGAAGCAAAAGTTCGGCCGAGAGAACAAAGAATGGAATAGCTTGGAGGAGATCAACCAGGCACTCGCCACCGAGCTCTTGGGTCCTAAGGGCACGAGTTCCAGTGCAGCTCCGACCGCAAGCCCCTCGAAGGTAGCGAACCTGCTGGAGGCTAGCCCATCAACCGTTGCTATGATGCAGCATCCACATTTGGAGGTCGGAGGCCTATATCAGCACAGCGACTACGGATCCCAGGTGTTTCAGCTGTTGGAGCTGAACGACACGTCGGCGAAGTAGCTTGGTAGTTGATTTGAACTTGAATTGCATGATGTACTGCATGCTTGAGCATGGACTGCTTGCATACTGCATGAAAGCATGCACATGATGTTGCATGTTGTTTGTGCAGGTTTGAACATCGGCCCCTAATGCAAGATGCATGGACAGTGGCCATTGCACTGTCCGATGACCTGAAGCAGTGGAAGAAAACGAAGAAGGCGATTGTGCAGGTAGTGGACCAGGCGGCTTGGTCGAAGTACCTCGTGGAGAACAACTCGGCTGCTGGTGAGGCCATTGACATGCAGCGAATGCAGATCCTGCTCTACGACACGTTCGTGAATCTCCCGGAGGTCGATGGCTTCAGCTTCGTGAGCCCGCCCACGGGCCTTTGTGCCACGATTAACATCCCGAAGGGCAAGCTCAAACTCATCGCTTATGGTGATTTGAAACGAGATGATGGCAAGCCTGGCCACAAGGTCTCGGGATATGCTTTGAGCCCGCCAAAGGCTGTCGGTGATATGGATAATGTCACTGCTACGTCGGTGCTCGTACCGTTCTGGTACGTGAAGCCATCGATGGATGCTGAGGCCGTTAACATGCAGCTGACCAATGCTAAGCATGGGGGTCTGGCAATCCCTTGCTACACCAATTCGAGATCTATCAGAAAGGGGGAACTCCTGTTGCATGCAGCTGAAGCTTTGCTTGCTAAGGAAGCCTCCAAGGCTGCTCCCAAGAAGAGGAAAGCAAGCTAGGAACATGCACAGGCACCAGCTATAAGCTGTATATAGAAGCACCATGTGGTTGCAGGATTGAACTGCAAATTTTGCTCCATGGATTGAGCTATGCATTTCAGAATGCTTGACAAAAGTTTGAAGGCTGCTTAGCGACTTGTGTGGATGCAGACATGGATTGCACGTGCACATCATATAGCATGGCATGCCAGCATTGATTGCAATTTGCATGAAGCATCTTCTGCTGACAGTAGCCAGATAGTAAAGCTTGATTTGTGAGAGCACCATGTCGGATGCTGAGTCGCCTGACAACGAGTTCTCCATCGAGAAGATTTTTCAGGTGAAACACAAGGGGCATGTGATCACCTTGCCGTCCGACTTGGTTGTGCAAGATGGCGAGCAGCACTTCGTGAAGATCATTGGCAGCCACCGTTCAATTTGCAAACTAGTTTGCCCTTGCACATCTATGGCTACCAAGAACATGTCCATCGCCGGCAGTGCCAACTTGAAGACCTTGCTAGAGTTGCTCTGCAAAGAGTTCAGCCCCAAGCAGACCAAGGATGCAGGACCCGACTTGTTCGACGACAACAAGGAGCCACAGAAGGCCAGCAAGAAAAGAAAGCTTAGTGCAGTCTTGCCTTGCACAATCAAAACTGTCACTTTGCCGAATGGCAAAGAAGCATGTTTCATGATGTCTTCACTGAAGTCCTCTCCGGCTGTGTTGTTGCAGGAGCCAGACATGGTTAATCTTATAGAGTATTTGGCTGAGGATTGTGATTCATGTGCTTGTTCCAGCCGGAGGGGCTATCATGCTACTGGTAAATTTGCCAAGCAGAAGAAATAGTTTTCCGAAAAGCAGGGCATGCAAGGATTGCCTGCTTTGAACCTGTCGGCTGCAGGGGTTCGTGTCGACGGGACAAAACAAGCTTCTTGCCACGTGTGGTTCAATTGGCAACTTCTTGTGGAGCCGGTTCGGCTACTTGTTGCATGTTCTTGAACACCGTGTGCTCACCCCATGCATATTCACATGTACTATATATAGAGCCAGTTGGGCTGCTTGTTGTTTGTTGCTGAGCCAGTTGGGCTGCATGCATGCATGCATGGCATGGCATGACATGTTGCATGGTCCTGTGCATCAGCCAAGGAATGTCCTCGACATCCTGGTTGGCCCTTGGGTGCTGCAGAACGTCGAGGTCAATGATGGCTTGATTCTCAAGAAGCCCGGGTCTCACTGGTATATGTTCTGGTCGAACCAGACCGGGTCCTACCTCGTCGCCGACCACATCGCCGATGAGTCAGTTGCCGGCTGTTGGGATGGTGTGGAAGTGGTGTGCAGCATCGAGGGTGGCGGTGAACGGCGAAGACCAGTGGGATCGGTCTTTTCGCCATGGTGGAATCGTGGTCGCTCGGGAATCGTGCGAGTACGAGGCCAGGGGGCTTGCACCTTTATGAAAGAGTGCATACAGGAGCTGCTCTTCCAGAAGAAAGTCTTGGAGGATGAGCTGCAGCAGGTGAAGCTGCACAATGAGTCGCTGCAGCTGGAGCTTCAAGATGCATCCAAGAGGAGGCGAGTGGGCGAGGCCAGGATGATATCGAAACATTTGGTATCAACCCAAAACTCTCAATTTTTGTAAAACCCCATAAACCCTATATGTAAACCCGGGTTTTCGGAGGTGAACCCTCCGCCGGCACCACGGCCTATGGGACCGTCCCCACCGGCACCACCACGTCCTCCAGCAGGTGGTGCAAAGGGCTCGCGAGGCCTCGTGGGTTCCTGGCAGAGTCACCATGGTGGGTGGAAGCCCAAAGCGGTGGCCATGGCTGGAGCAGCTTTGGTGCACAGTTGCATGCATGGCTTGCATTCATGTCATGTGAACA